TTGCTCGTGTGGTCGAGATCATGAACCTTCAGCATTTATTATTCAGGCTGTAGCTGTCTAGCTGCCCACCGACTATAAAGTGAGACACGATCAAGTGAGGCCACATCATCATTCCAAACTAGCTAAAAAGCACAGGCTACCTCAGAAAGTGGATGCACCATACTACCAGTATCATCCAGAGCGGTGCTAGAAAATGAGCACATAAGTTACTGGACGCAGTATTCTGACGACAGGACAATTCAGCACACAGACCTGATATTACCATTGGACAAATCTGCAAAGAAAGTTTGGTTTATTTGATGTGCAGTCGTCAATACGCAGCAACATGATGACAACATACCAGACTAAAATCGACAAATACAGAGAGATGATAGTATTTGGCGTAAGAAACGAATGGCGAGTGCAGAAGTGAAAACTATCCAATTGTACTATCGGCAACTGGCGTGATACCAAAAAACTCTCTGCAGATTGCTGGAAGACTCTCCTTGGAGAAGAGCATTATCATCGGCCTCCAGAAGTCTGTATAATCAGCACCTGCTCAGTAGTCAGGAGATCATGGTGAGGGACTGTTGGGTTTTGAAAGCTCATTCTTGAAATTGTATTTATGCCTAATTTTTTTTGTAGATTTTAAAATGTCTGTGTTTACCATGCTTTGATATTGTATCTGTGTGGTATCCATGTGAAACCAAAGACTTTGAGAATAAACAAAATAATAATAATAATGGGAAGTTTCGGCCCGATGAGTCTACTCTTCCGCCTAACCATTTAATTAACCTTGATATTTACATAATTACAATTATTAAGGAAAGCAGCGTAGATATGTGCCACTGGATGCACTCTTTTTAAGAGGTGTCGGCCACCTCTGCCTGCTGTCTGGCAGCGCCTCGGCATGGGAGGCGCGGGTGGGAGGTGTGGGGTGAAGCAAGGTGGCGTATCGGGTGGGAGGCCCGGGGCCGTGTGCGGTGTGTGGGCGTGGCGTATCGATCCGGCCGCGTGCTCGTGCCCATTAACATGTCGCGCTCGTGCGTTAGTACGCTGGCGCCCGCCTCCGCACGCCCGCCCACCCCCCATGCGATCTCCTGCCCGCCGTCTGTCTTGCGCCACCACCATCTCGCCTCTGCCAGCCCTCCTGCCCTTCCTCTTCTACCAGCCCTTCCACGGAACCATTTCCATGAGCCTGAGCCTGAGCCTGAGCCCATGCCCATGAGCAATTCTCGGAAAACAAAACGACCATGAATGGCTTTGGGCGCCTAGGCGACTGGACCGTGATATTGCCAAATGTTTATTTGATAAGGAAAATGGTATTTTATTGAGATACATAATGTTTCACTGACCGAAAATACCATGTGAAATGTGGTTGTAAAATGCGGTTGAAGAACACAAGAAAATCTGTGGTATTCTTAGATATGAAAACTACAAAGCAGTGTTACCTATTGGTCAATTGAAAGGAGATGGAGTATGAAAACCAAATTAAAATTGAAACTGTTCAAAAGAAACTCTGTGAACATATTGATAATATTCGAGAATATCAGTGAAATTTCAATACAGAAAGGAAGATAATTAAAATTCTTATTAGTGAATAGTAGTTATAAACGGATATAAAAGTGTATTACGACGTTAACCAGGGCCGGATTTACCTACAAGCAAAACTAGCAGTTGCTTGGGGGGCCCCCATTCACCAGGGGCCCCGCGTTTCGGAAAAATACGCATACCATATGTTTTTATGTATTATATTTGTGTATAAAGTTATGTAAAATGTATTTAATGTAAAAAAATGTAACACGAGTAAAAATTTCTATAAAACATTATCAGTTTTCATTTGTATCTGTACAGAAAGTACTTGTACTATAATACATTTTTTATTGAATAAAGATGGGGCTATTTTTTCGGGGGGGGGAGGCAACACAATTTTGTGCTTGGGGCCCCGCACTACTTAAATTCGGCCTTGATGTTAAGTCTCACAGTCGTGTGTGTATCCTTGAAACTTCACACTACTCATCCCCTCCAGTAAACCCTCCCTCCTTTCCGCCTGCCTTCCCGCTCTGCCTTTTTTTCTCACCTGCTGAGATGGCTCCGTGGCTTCTGTTGCCGCTGCAGCGTCGCTGCCCGTTAGGGTCCTAGAGTTGGAATTCGCAAAATGGCGAATTTTCAACACTTGTGTATATAGCTAGGTCGATTTCAGCTACTGTCTGGAGGAGAATTCTAGCGGCCGGCTGCTCTGATAGGTTGTTTCCCATGGTTTCTCCGATCAATTCCAGGGGATTGCTGAGGCAGTACCATTGCAAACGGTCCATTGTCTGCGTGCAATCTTCGCTTTCTCATCCTTGTCCCCTCTTCTCCCTTTGCATGCACTCTCAATCAATCAATCACTCACACACACACACACACACACACACACACACACACACACACACACACACGCATTACTCTAGCACACACATCTATCTAGACTCCAAACGGGAGCTCAGACTTATTCGGCCTGAGGTGGTGCTCCGCTGAGGGACAAACCCACTAGGCAACGTGTACGTTGGCATCAGATATCGCGTTCGAATGGGAAGAAAAGCGCGACCGATTTAATTTGCCGGCTACAACATGACTACGCCACTAGTGACCAGAGTAGTCGACTCGGCCGAAACGTGGAATACTGACTCTCGCCGTCTCTTCGCTCCTTTGCCTTTCTGCCCCGCTACCCGCCCTCCTGCCCTCTAACTCCATGCCTATCGCCGCCGTCGGGCCACACCCACCTCGCTTCCCTCGAGCTCTGATGGAGTACCGACCCCGCCAGAATACGCGCACTGTACCGTCCGAGCGCCGAGCGATTTATATTCGTCGCGTAATATATACAGCGGCGCGATCATCACGCCCGGCATCCCCCGCCCCCCGCACGCCCACCCCCCCCCCACCACACCACCACGCCGTCGCTATGCCCCCCGCGTGGAATATAATTATATATCGACGCCCGTCAATTCTGACTGAAAACCCGTTCCACTCATTACCCATAACCGATCTCTCGCACACGGCTTTCAAGTATTTGCCAAATCTACGAAGTGGACCGGTTGAGAAGAGGAGGAACAGCTATTGCCTTGCCACTGTAGGGTCTCGGACCGGCAAGTCGTAGCAGTCGCTCGAGTCCTAGGATTCGAGTACGGCCAGGGCGGATTTTGAACAGCTAGATCCAATTCCGGGTCTATCTGGAGAATAATTTTGGCGGCCCAGCTAGCTTTCCTTCCTTTTCCTTGTTCTCTCCTCCTTCTCCTCCTCCTCCTTCTCCTTCTCCTCCTCCCCCTTCTCTCCACTTCACACACACACACACTTCCATGCACTACTCTACAACTCATATTGGGAGTCAAGCTCAACTTTGAGCTTGCCATGACTGGCCATGGCAGTGTCCGTCTGGTGGAAATACTGGTAGAGGGAAACAGCTCAAGTCACCCGGTAGATCGTGCCAAATCTAATATTCAAATGGAGTAGGAACGCCGTTATCTATCAGCTTATAACAAGCACTACATTTATGGCCAGTGGTGGGTGAAATACATTAATTTTAGTATTTAAATTCTTTGCCAAAATACTTTATAAATAAATATTTAAATACATACACAAAATACATTAGGATTTAATGTGCTAAATACATATGTATTTTAAATTCCTTCAAATACTCAAAATACTGTAAATATCTAATAATTTTGTATTGAATATTTTTTATTGCAACAATATATTACAATTGTTACAAAATACAAAAATTATTTTTAACAACTAATTTTTGAAACAAATCATTAGGCTCTTACTTACCCCTAGATGGCGAATGCATAAAACCTGCAAAGCAAAAGTCATTCAACTGGTGCGGATGAACATAAACTAGTGTTATAATAAATAAACATTTTTTGTTGAATAATTGTCTGGCGTTTTTAATGATTTAGATTTATCATTTAAAAATTAAGAGAATCCAATTCAACTGCTAAAAGGAGACACCTACTTTATGTATTTAAATACATATCTAAAATACATGCCCAAAAAACTAAAAAATACAGTTTTTAAAATTCAAAATGAATTTAAAATACATATTCCAAATACAAGTATTTAAATACTGCCCAACTTGCTTAGGGTACTAATAACCTTGTTATATGGCACTTGCAAAAACACAAAATAATCAAATGTATGAATGAAATTGTCATGTATGAAATGTTAAATTAGGAGTTTGAAGATGGGACAAATAGCTTCAGAAGTATGATTGTCGCTTTTGTCTTTTGGTTGTAATGAACAAATCAGACATTTAGCCTCTTTTCTTTTTATTTCTGTTTCCCTTCAACACCTTTCTTGCTTATTAATACCTCTTGTATTTCAGATCTTTATTTCCCAGTTTTTCCACTTCTTTTGTCTTAGTTTTTCAATTACAGGTATCACTAATTTTCTCACTTCTGCCTCTACATTATGATTCCTTCCAAATATAGACTTCAATAAATAAAGTGTCCTTCTCGTTATTGATATAATGTCAAATATCCTCTACTTTAAAAGTTACCTATTGTGTTCTTTGTGGCTGTGTATCTCTCGTTTGTAAATTATTTTCTAAAGTTCTTCACCCTGAAACCTTCCATTTAAGACAAGTCATACCAGCCTTTAGAAGAATTTCATTAAGTTGATTGTCAATGAAAACTTTTTTAAATACCCAAGTTGATTGCTGATACTGGAAAATAATGTCTTGTGGCCGCATGGCCCCTAAGACAATAACTTGGAAGATGACGAAGAATTAATAAAAGTAATTCTTTACTCGAAAATCTATGAAATTATTATTATTATTATTATTATTATTATTATTATTATTATTATTATTATTATTATTGTTGTTGTTGTTGTTATTGTTATTGTTATTGTTATTGTTGTTGTTATTGTTATTAGAAATTCGTAAACCAAAAATAAATCTGATGATTGTAAATTCAGTTTTGTTGTAAAGATAGTGGTTTTGATGTATTTGACCATTTTGTATGTTGAAACTTTTGTTGCAGAATCCTGATATTGTGCTAGTGCACTACCTCAATGTACCCTACCCTGATGATAACAAGCTAGCAGTAATCACTCCCAGCCTAGCGCTGTGGGGAGACAAGAAGGAGTGGACCAAGGAAGAGCTAGTGTCTCAGCTCAAGCCTATGTGTGAGTCGGCTGGCCCCTCCTCCTACTCCAGTGTCCAGGGTGAAGTGAAACCTTCTGTGTGGCATGCTGCACCCGGCATGCCACTTTTTCTCTATTTCAATTTTTCAACTGGCCTTTTTCATAATCATGCTTACCATTTGACAGCGCTCTAGTGCTCCTGCTGAAAGACTAGAAATATTCTGTTGTTTGTTTACACAACAAATTAGAAAACAGCATTTTTCGGTTTCTTGGGTTCAATGAGGTGATACTGAACATGACAAAAATGATTATCTTCTTTCAGAGTAGACCTATTGTGACAGTTATTCATTTTATTACATTTTTCATTTATTTATTGTCTTTACTTAGGGAAAAATGATTATCACTTTAATGTGAATGATATATTTTACTCAATTTGCTTGTAAGCAAAGTAATTTATTTGGTATCAGAGTCTTATAGAGAGTTATAGTGTAGTGTAGATGGTAAATGAGTGAATTCAAAATATTAAAAAGCATGCCTAATTGAGATTTGACATTTGTTATATGCATTCTAGTTCCTAGATGGAAGTTAAATTTGTTGCACCAGCTGAAATTTATAGATAGATGCAATTTATAGATTAAACTGTAATGTGTTAACATTTTTCTCAATAGTGCTCATTTTTTCCAATTTGTTCATTGAACAATTAGACTGTAGCATTTGTATTAAGAAACAAACTGAAAGGCATGTATCACACAAATTGTTTGAAGTGTGAGTGCACAAAGCTAGATTAGTGAATAATGAAATTGCAAAATATTGTAGTTGTACATGCATGTTTGCAAGTAATTTCATCAGCCTCTAGTATCAGAAAGCACTTCTGCTAAAAAGTAAACAAAACCACTGCTCTAATATCATTCAGCAAATTGATAAGTTGTAATACTTGATAGATTAAGTTAACAACCATGATTTGAAGGATTAGCACATAGCATTGCATGTTATATTTTGAATTTAAAATTTGGAGAATTGTATTTTTAAAGTAAACATTAATTAAAAGTTATTACCAAATTATGTCTGTTTATTTTTGTTGCCTCATTTTCTTAGATGTATTTTCTGAATTGAAAAAAGAAAGTAATATTCATTTATTACAAATAAATTATTATTTCATAAAAGCTTTGAGGACCAGTTTAGATTGTAGGTACTTTGATAAAAAAATAAATAGAAAAGTCGAATATAGGAGTGTATATTTGGAATATAGGAGTATAATCTATTAATTGTTACTATTCTTGCGTAGATCAGAAGCATGTTTTGAAATAAGAATTTATAGTTCTTTAATTTTGTAAATTTTTTTTTTTTTTTTTGTAAATTAATGGATGATGTCCTTTTTCAGTTTTCAGTGAGGATGAACCTGATCTTAATAATGAATTGGAAATTTCGGTGAGAATATATATATATATTTGTTTTTAACTGTTTAGGAAGGACAATAATTAATAAAAGTCTGAACTGAATAGATTCATTTGGCAAAGCACTTACATGGTACAAATTACAAATAACGTACATACATAACATTGTAGTGTTCTATCTTTTTAATCTTGTACACATTATATTCTTAAAACACTTGTGTTCTAGAAATATTAAAATATTTACAAAGCGTATATTAATTTAAGTTGGAGCACCAATATTGTGTAAACATGTTGTTTTAATGATGGAAACTTCTTTAATTCACAGACGGCGGAAACAGTGGAGGCAATAGTAACCCAGCTTATGGAAAAACAGAGGCTTGCCCGAGCTGCAGCTCTTACCAAACAGTTAGAATGTGGCTGTCCAGATTCCACATGTGCTGATAGCAAAACTTGCTCTCATCCTATGCGCCGAATCTCAGCTGCAAAACCAGGAGGTCCTGATATAGGATCTGTAGCTGGTGCTCGTCAGGCAGTGGTCAGCATGGCTTTAGCCAATGATAATAGCAATCAGGTATGTCTCTTGCATGTTCCTTAGTTATTATTTTCCTGTTTACACCAATATTCTAGGGATCTGTGATATAGGCAGGGGGAGGGAAGTCCGACCCAACATCACCTCTGTAGTGAACACTAAGTGAAAATTTTAATTCAAAATTACATGTTTTTATTGTTTTAATTTAAAAAGAGCATATAATAATTGTAATGACCATTGCATTCACAAAATTACAATCAACAGCAGGTAAAAATTCAGAACAAACAAACTAAAATATTGTTTTCCTCATTATTTACGAAGTCTACTTCACAAGGGAGGTGAATTCTTCTTGTTCTTCTTCTTCTCTCTTTCTTCCTCTCTCTTTTTTTTCTCTCTTCCTTCTCCTCCTTATTCTCCCTCTTCTCCTTCTCCTCCCCTTCTCCTCCTCCCTTTTCTTCTCCTTCCTCTTCTCCTCCTTCTCCTCCTTCTTCTTCTTCTTTTCCGTGTTCTCTTTCTCCTTCTTCCTCCTTGTCCTCCTGCTATTTATGAAATTTCATTTTTTTTAAATTATGAAATAGCCCTTGCACTTTCCAAATAAAGAAAAATTCAGAATCTCTTGTGTTTGCTTTTATAATTGAATATTATTAAAATTTTTGTAATTATTTAAAATTACTATCACAGAAAAGTTGCAACTTTCTCAATTGATAAGAATTTGATAACAAAAGATATTACTACTGTATTTCATCAGTCTTTGACATTTCTCTTTAAGTACTGAATAACTAAAAGTAAAAAATAATTTTAACTTGAACATTAAAAGTGGTTTAGTATATCTGATGTTCTTTTCAATAGAAAAATTTAAGTAGTCTCGTCAATTATCAGAATCATCAATTAAGTGTTCACTTAATTAAAAAGATTGTTTAACAGCATTGTAGTAATTGAGATTAATGTTACTAAGGAGTCTGATTCAATTACATTAAAACATTTTGCATTGACCAAAATATTATTAATTCTAGCTAATTGGGTTGCAACAAATAATTGCCTACAATAAATTTTTGTCATTATGAATTGTACAAACACAAGAACAAAAGTCAGTTTTTATTTTTATTTTGCACTGTTTAGAAAATGAAAAATTATTCATTTTTGTAAATATTAATTTTTTACTGGCCTACTTACTTCAAACAATATTTGTACATAAGACCTTACAAAATATAATTGAAATAATTTTATAATGTTATTATTAATGCAATTTACAACATTTGAGAATTCCTTAATGAAAAGAATAGTTTAATGAGAGTTAAATGTTTTGCTAAAAATTTCCCGTAGATTTCTCAATTCTTAATGGTGGGCTACATGTCAATCCTTGTCCTTAAAATCTCAAAGTTGAACTTTGAACCAAATTTTAAAATGTGTAGCTGAAGTTGCTGGTGAAGTCCAGCCTAAAACTGGATCTATTAATAAATAATAGTAAAAGTTTAATCACCACTGTATGGTCTAATATTGATGAAGTCTGTTACTTCTGTTTTTGCTAACATGTCCAAATACCTGATTTTTATAATGATATCTATACTTTGTTACTTGAACATTTCACTTCACTTTCTTCAGCACTCACCTATAAGAGTAATAAATGGGAAAATTTTCTCAGTGATACCTTTATTGTATATTTCTATAAAAGGATTTAATTTTTGACATAGGTTTCATCAACAACTGGTTCTGGAAGTATGATTCTTGCAACTGGAGCAGTTGGAGGTGGAGTTGCCAGCAATGGATCGACTGGAGCAACATCATCCTCTGTAGCTGTCAGTCAGGCTCAACAACGCCTCCACCATCCAGGAGGGCATCATTCATCTGGTTCAAGCTCAGTAAGCAGTGTCAACCCAACCACAACCAGCACTGCAGCTGCCCCTCCTCTTGTTTTAAGTTTGTCCCAAATTCAAGGTGGAGGTGGCTTGTTGATCTTGAACAGTTCTGGTAGTACTACAAGCAATGCTACCCATCAGTCATTGGTGTCCCCTGTAGCAGTTACATCTTTTGTGTGTAGTACCAACACTCAACAACAACGAAGTCATCATCATTACACAAAGGATTCTTCAAAAAGTTCTGGTGCCACGACTATTGTTTTGAAACAGGAAGCAATGGAAACAAGTTCGAGTTCATGCTGTTTAAATCAAGGTCCTGGTTCAGATAGTGTTACAGTAGCAAATAACATTAATAATAATAATATAAATAATAACTCTAACAACAAAATGGATATAACAAATGGTAACATTACCACAACTTTTGACAATACAGGAGGTGCAACAACTTATCTTTCCAGTACATCTGACAAAAATATTTTACGTTCTTCAAAACAGCAGCCCATGTCAGTATCAAACTCATCTTCTGTTATGAATAGTGCTCCACCAACTCCTTCAAAACACATGGATACTAGTAGTGATGTTGATTCTTTGGACATAAAACCATTTTGTAGCAGTGACACTGTTCTAGTAATTGGTTCCAGCTCAAGCTCCATTATGAAAACTACAGAGACTGTATCTGTTGGTGGATTTTTCAATGAAACTTTAGATCTTTCCCAAGAAGACATTCAGAGGACACTTTCAGCTAACATGCCCCTGTCATGTTCAGCTGAATTAGATAGACATCCAAGTGCACATCATATCATCGCATCTAAATCTTTGGCTACATCTAGTGGAGACGAAATTTCATCTGAAGAAGTCATTGTGTCAGAAGTCAACCCTATGGACTTCATTGACTGTGGGGATGTAGTTGTGTCTCCTACTCAAGTCGATGATGATGTGTTTGTAAACTTAGATGCATTCGACATGTTGGGAGATTTCCCTGAGCTAGAAATTTTGGAGTCAACCACAACTGTGGCAGAAGCCTCAGCAGAAAGTACAGCTTTGATTTCTATGGTGGAAGAAGCATCACCAGCTGCTTCAATTTCCCATCATGAAGCAGTTGCTAGTGTAGGTAGCGGAGACAGCAATATGGATGCTAGCATAGTGACAGACAGTGGCAAGTCAGCTTGTGCAATGAACAGTGGAGGAAGCAGTATTGATAAAACAAATGATCAGGCTTCTCCAAGAATGGATTACCGAGAAGGCACTGCAAATATTACAGATTACTCACCTGAGTGGGCATATCCTGAGGTAAGAGATATATTTAGTGTCCATATGTTTGTTCTTTTTTTACCACTATTCTAATTTTTCTTTTCTTTTTTTGAATTAGAAATTTGTTACATTTTGATGAAGTACATTTTAAAAACAGTTTCTCTTGTTTGAAAATATGGTTAAATTATAACACTTCAAAAACATAAAGCTCCTTTATCTACTTGGAAGTATTTTGTTAATTCAGAAGATCAAAACCTACATTAAAATTCAAATAAAAAATAATAGTTTTTATTAAACCTTCACTACAAACAATTTTTTTTTCAGGGTGGTGTAAAAGTGTTAGTTACAGGTCCCTGGTATAGTACTACATCACCCTACACAGTGTTATTTGACACATTCCCAGTACCAACTACTCTGGTTCAGAGTGGTGTGTTACGCTGTTATTGTCCAGGTAATTTAAACATTCCTCTTATGTAGGACATAGTTTGTATTAAAGAATAAGACTTTTGAACATGTGTGAAATACTTTATTCACACAATAATATTATATATTATTAACACAATAATAATATTCCAACAGCTCATGAAGTGGGATTAGCCACATTGCAAGTAGCATGTGAAGGATTTATTATTTCTAACTCTGTGATATTTGAATACAAGAAGCCTCCACGAGAAGATCAAGTTGCAGCCAGTGAACCTCATCTGGAAAAAAGCAGTGATAATTTGTTGAAATTCACTCTGCTTCAACGTCTTGAAGCCATGGATGATCGTTTACAAATTAAGCAAGAGCCTGATGTTTCTGATGTAGTAAGTAATGCAATTCAAAAGAACAAAGTCTAGTGGAAATTGTAGTGGAAGTACTTTCTTTCTAGTAAATTTAGAGCTAATATAAATTAAATTGTATGCCATAAACTACCTCTTAAGGAGTTTTGAGGTAGTCTCCTCGGCACGTTTGCAAGTGCATTTGCATTTCAACGCAGATTTGATTTCCGTTGTTGTTGACAATGTTCTTAATTACTCAGACAGTCCAACTTTTTGTGACCATTTGAACTAGCTCTCTCCAAAATCTGTTTCAAGATGCTGAGTCTTAGGTATTTTCCAAGATGATGTTGCTTTTCTAATGTCATCAATCTTTGTCACCCTTCTCTGATCTCTCACCCTCTTGCTCAATGTTTTACTCAACATTGTATTCTTCTCCAGTTCTCAAAATATAGCCAATGTATTTCTTTACGTTGATAACCAGTAGGAATGATTAAATTTTGGATTTGATCCAGCCTCATGTCAGCAAGCAGAGAACATTCTGAATTTAATAACAAGAAAATTCAGTTATGAAAGCCATATGATTCAGTATGGAAACTAATAATTTGATATAAGATTACCTAGTAAATTTAGAATTAGTGGAATTGTCTTGAGAAGCATCACAGTCACAATTACATCACAGATGATTGTAATTATAAGTCATGACATTATTAATCAAAATTTGTTGACCGCAACATTCATTTAAGAATAATTTACAATCCTTAGAGAATGAGAAAAAAACTAATTTTCTCTGTAATTAAAAAATTCATTATATTTATTTTATTATATCTTTATAATTTATTTTCACACTCAGCGTTTTGAATCAACTATATGATTTTTTTAATTTTTTTTATTTTGTGGCAATGTAATAGTTGTTAATCCTCTGAGTTATTCCTGTTTTGAATCACCAAAAAGTTGTAATGAGGTGTGTTGTTGTTGGTTGTTGTTGTTGTGTTTTTTTTTTCTTTTTCTTCTTTTTTTTTCTTTTTTTTTCTTTTCTGTTGCTTGTATTGTATTATATTTTTATATTATTTTTTTATATTTTTATATTATATCATAGATTTTATATATATTTTTTATTATATTACCATACTTGAAAATACCATGCAATCATTTCTGTTTTTAGGTAGAAGGAACCAGTCTTCTAAACCAAAGTAACTTTGAGGATAGACTTGTATCGTACTGTCAGGAAATGACTTCACGTGCTTGGCGATTAGGAGAAGACTCTAATTCATTGCGATCTTCCAGTCATCGGGGAATGACTCTTCTTCACCTTGCTGCTTCTTTAGGGTACACAAGGTAAAAGTGTGAAAGTGATAAATGTAATTGCTTCATATAAATTTTCAAAAATTAATCATTTTAAACTCTCTTTTTTGTAGACTAGTTTGTGCTATGTTACACTGGAGAGCAGAAAACTCTTCTTTATTATTAGAGACAGAGGTGGATGCTCTTAGTCAAGATGAAGATGGATTTACACCTTTAGTATGTATATCATTCTGGAGATATTACTTTCTTTCATATTTCATAATGTGTTTAATGAATGATGAATTTCTGTATTTTTCACTTAATATATTATTTTATTTTTAGATGTGGGCATGTGCTCGGGGTCATCGAGAAACCGCAGTTTTACTGTATAGATGGAACCATACTGCTCTGAATGTTCGCAATCACAAATCTCAAACAGCTACTGATTGTGCACGTTCTAATCATTATGAAGAATTGGCAAAAGAAATGGAACAATTGGAGTCTTCTTGGGAAAAGGCTAATGCTATGCTTACATCTCCAGTATCAGAAGGGATGTCTGAAGTGGCTACTGCTATCACTCCTGCTCTCTCACCAGCAGGATCTGTTGTATCCCTAGCATCAGTTACCTCTACATCTCAGTCGCATGATGGTGTTTTCTTAAGGCCTGGTGCTGTTACACGGTATGGGTTGAAATTCTTTTGTAGAAATTTCTTTGTGTGCATATTCATAATCTGTGTGTACAATGCCTTATTTATGAACAAAATAAACTCCCAGTTATTTTAATTATTTAGTCTAAATCTATTTGCTTCAGTTCTGTGCACTCAGCTTGTTCGTTCTTATCCTCTCAGATCATGTGCATATATGCTGCCTTGAATTTTTGAATTCTTTTTAATTATCAGGATGCCAAATTGTTTTAGAAGTGAATCTCAGAAGTACAAAGCGCTGAGTATGGAGCTGAATCTGAATCTTACATCTGAAAATGTTGGCGCAACCTCTGGAAATTCAAACAGAGGTAGCCACAGCTCCAGTCCCAGCCCCGTCCGTTCTGCCTCAGGTATTGATTAATTGATTGATTAATAAATTGGTTTTAAGTCTGAAGTAGTAAAATAGTGTGTATGGGAAATGGGTATCAAAATATCAACTGTCAGCATTGTATAACGAAAAATTAATGTGCTTTTTACAGGTGTTGTTGAATCCAGTAATATGTTGTCTAATCCTATAAGTAGTCTCCAGGCCCATCAGCCGCTTACAAAGCGTCCATCAGTAGACAGTGGAATACACTTAGGATCTGTTCAATCTTCTGATAGTTTACCATCGTTACGTTCTCGTAGCAATAAACTTCCTAGTGGCCGTGAAACCCCAAAGCTATCAAGGTACATATGAATATAAGAAACAGATTTTTTGTAAAATTTTCTATTTGTTTCTCAGTTTCATAACAGTTGGAAGTTCTAGAAAACTTTTTTGTTTTTGCTTCTGTCAAAATATATTTTAAAATTATGTTTAATTTTAATAATTGAACAACTCCATTTCTGTATAATGTTCTAACACAGTGTATCTCAAGTTGTAAATATATCATTGACTCTTTTTATGTGAAGAATTTTCTTTCAATTTAATTTCAGGTTTGATCGTAGCATGTCATTACCTTTGAATTCGCCTTTATCAGGCATGGATTGTTCATTTGATAGTACTTCATCTGATGCTCGAGACAATCTACTGAGTTCTCCAATAAGAAGAATGGATTTTGCTCTTTGTGAGTTGCTTTTTGTTTCTGTTCTGAAAAATTTCTCATCATTTAGTGTCATCTTGTTTTGTTTTTGTGTTTTCTTTTGTTTGTTTTTTCGATTCACTTATGGATGACCAGGCAGGAGTTAACCGTAGATTTCTAAATCTGTTTTTTGATAAGTATTTGTAGATCCTTTAGCATTGCATGATTTTAATTATTTATTGTCATCTTGGAAACAGAACAGAACTGATCATAAGATTTTTTTTACTTTTTCTTATTTCAACAAACATTATGTAGGTTCAGGAATTTTTGCATATACTCCCAGAGACATCCATATTGAATTGTAGAAAGACCATAGACCATAGAATAAAGGCTTATCAGCACTACTGCATAATGTTAGTTTGGGAGAAGGGAACAAAGAATTTTATAATATAATACTCCAGCATCCACGTAGACTTTATTGGATGACATCTTTTGACACAGAGTTTTAAATGGAGACTGAAATATATTATTTTTTCGAGAATCCAGCATAAGGTACAGAAATTCAGTTATATATAATGTAACTACCTGTGCAGGTCCAAAGATCATGAACCAATTTTTCTCATTCCTTGCACATCATGGAAATTGTGATACATTACATTTCATTTGTTGCATTGGTAGATGAGGCTTGTGTTCTTTTCTGGATCCATTTCTTCCAATCCCCTTAGTACTGCATATACTTTCTATTGAGAACTAATAATGCACCTGTATTCTATAACTCCTAATGTAAAAGGCAAACACTTCTTCAGATATCGTTGCCCTTATTATCACCTGTTGATGATTTAACATATTTTGCCTGAACATAAGAGTAAACTGAAAAAGTGAACCTTGGTGTTTGAAAATGTTCCAGTAGCTTTTTAATTTGTGGTCAGTATATTTGAATTTGTTGATGAGCTATGAATGTAAAACTCATTGAATTAATTTTGCCTTTTCTGATTATAAAAATATAATGTGAAGTGAAAAAGTGATTTACATTCAGGAGTTATATTGCAGTATGAATAAAATTGAATTTGGAATCTGGTCTTTATCATTTTGTAGATAGCTTAATGCTATTCTTATTTATTCCCTGACATATTTTTTAAATTAAATTAAAATAAGAGAGCAGTTAGTGGTGAAAGTTGAAAACAGGTAAGTTTTTTCTCTTTATGTGATCAGTTTTATCTTTACTTTTAACTAATATTTTACTTTTAAAAGTAAAATATTTTCAATTATGATTCTGGTTTGCTTTTTTCACTAGTAGTACCATGTGTCAGCATGAAATGCCATTAAATTTTGTTGCAATAATAACTGTGGAACAAAAGCGTGATGAATAAGAGGCCCAGGTTTGTGCAAGAATTTGCTTGGTGCCTTCTGCCATAATTGGCTTTAACATTATTTAATTGTATAAAAAGTTCAAAATAAATGCAACACTACACAATTTAATAATTGCTTGCTGTATATAATTGTATTTTATTGTACTATATTTTTTTCCAGCTTTCAATTTTGTAATAAGCTGTTTTATTTTTAGTATTGAGCATTTTGTCTGTGCCTGAGATAGTTTTCAACTTTCACCATTGCACTTGTCCAGGCTTGTAGTGGTTTGGGGAATAAAAAAAATCTTAAACTATAAATCATTAATCTTTTTTTAGGTTCTCAATATTCCATGCACCTCAGTATGGAAATTTTTTTTAATTTTTAATTTTTTTTTTTAATTTTTTAATTTTTTTTTTCTTCTTCCTACTGAATATCAATACTCAATAACTCATTGCAAAATTTTATGGAAGTCATAAATTCATCATTTCATACATTCACTTACTTTTTCATGAAGGGACTTCCATTTTTAAAATTGCATACTATATTGTCTTCTTTTTATTTTATCTTTCAGACAAGGAGTGGTATGTTGTCTGTATATCTTTCTTTAATGATCACTGTTATATCTCACAAATTGTATTCAAATTTTTCAATATTTTATGATCAGTGTGCCTTTATCAAACTTTGACATTTCATTTGTCAATTAGCTGGGGAATAGTTCTATTAGTTTGTATGTTATATTTTTGTATACTACTCTTTGCTAGAGAAAAAGGACATAATAAATATAAAAATACCTTAGTAATCATCAATTCTTTGTTAACAAAAAAAGTGTTATTTTCTTAAAATTTTGAAAACAATACCATAGCACTATTACTTAATCTCTTCGCAGAACTCCAGTGTTGGTTTTGTAAGTTTTTCTGATATTCGCACATTTTAAAACTTTTTAACATAACATTTGCTTTTTAACATAAATTAGAGATTAATATTAAAATTAAATTATTTTCATATTGTTATGGTGGTTGTCAAAGTGTATTCATGTTTTTAATGTACTCTATTGCCTCTGTTTTGACAGTGGAGTATTTATGAAGCATTTCATATAATTTTATTTTATGTAGTTATTTCTTTTTATTTCTTTTATGAGTACATTTTTTCAATAGTTTGTTATTTTGATAACTTGTACATTTTTTTTTTATTCAGGCTGTTTAATTATTGCTGAAGCATGTTGATTTATAATTTCCAAGTTTCCAAATTTCATGCTTATATTCACTGACAATGCTGATTTGCAGTAATTACTGAAAACATGATTTTATAAATCTAAAATTATACAGTGGAAGCTATTTAAGATGTCTTTGTTTTTATAAAGAATGTTAGAAAGAACATTTGAATTTTTTTCAAGTCAGAAGGGTTAGGTTAGTTTATACAAGAACAGCATAAAATTTTCTGTTTGATCTCATCAGCAAATTTCTTAGTGGTATGAAATTTTAATGTCTCCTTTGCTTAGAGCTATAATTGACAAACAAAACATTTCCATTATTTTAAAAGAAACTTTAAGAATGCCTGTAATTAAGTTAAAGTTTATTCTTTAGAATTATCTATTTCAAAAGTATCAATGGCATTTCCTTTTGGGGAATAATTCAATATTCCATGATTAGTAAGGTCTACTTAATAGTTTTGGAGGAAACTCATTTAGCCAAAGCTTTCTTCATTATTATCTTTCTCAAGGATCTCACAGAAAAGATCTAGTATTTATTTGATTTCAGGCAATAGGAGACTGGACATCTGCCTTAAGTTACTTTTTGAAGTTCTTGAACTAAAGATTGTGAACTTGATTAGAATTTTTTAAATTTTCATTTTTTCAATTGCATTTTAAAATATCATGCTAATAAGAGTTGATGTCCTAAAGCAATTTTTTTACAATGGTATTTTATATATTGTGCTTATGTACTTTTGTTTCATTTTACATAATTTTACTTATATATTGATTACAGCATCTTAACAAGGTTCCACTAATATTTACTGATGAATTTTCTGCTTTTCAAAAATCTACTTCCCTTGAGACAGGTGAAGTGTCAGTTTTATTTTTTAAATATTTTTTGTTTGAAAATTGGTTTGCTTGCGTATTTTTGGCATCTTTTTCTTGATGCTTGAAATTGTGGATCCAGGCGAAGTGGCTAGAGGTCCTCGAAGCGAAAGTCCCATCATTGATGTGGAGGGCATCTCAGATGAGGAGCTGGATGCAAAACGGAGTGTTGTAGGTCAGTTCTTGTAATATTTATGTAGTGTGTACTTTGTGTTTTTACAGCATGTCAACAACGCTTGTTAACCAGTGGTGAGAAACTACTGGCCTTAGAGTGATCATCAAAATTTGTCATGAAAAGAAATTGGAATTTATTTTTATAAAAATCATTCTATCAAAATCTATTGATTAGTGTACAAATTAATGAGTATAAAACATTTAAATCTTCAAATTGTTTACCCAAACTGTCCCATGCTCCATCACTGGTTAGACAATATTTCAGTATATTTAATCAATAGATGTTTTTTGTGATCTGCATTGCTCATAAAATAATGTTTTCTTCATTGATAGTCATATTTTTGTTGTAATATACAAATCATTTATATCTATTAAACTGTAGAATCAACATAATAATTAACTCTACCTATGTTGTTTGAATTATACATATTTTAAATAATATCACTTATGAATTTAACATTACAGGGGAACAGGAAGTTAGAGTTCTGACATTAGCTGAACAGATTATTGCTGCTATGCCAGAGAGAATTAAGGTAGGGTTATGAGATATAATAATATATAAATTGTTAAATTTCCCACATTACTTCATATTTCTTTGTATTTTTTTCAATTTTTGTTTTATGTTTTTTTCCATTCGCTATACAAAGTACAGAGGATAATTAGATAGTATTGCATTTTGTTCAAAAGTTTGAGATTCAAGACTTTCATGATAAAATCTGTTTTGAGACTCCCTGAGGAGAAAAATGTGTGTTTACTACAATGCCAGTATAAAGGAATGAGTGTTTCATCATGTCATGCATAACTGAAGCACATTCGAAACTTTTCAGCTCTAACTTTGTGGAAACATCAAGAGTAAAGTCGATTACTGTAGTACCATTCCAAATACTTTTAAGTTATTTTAATTTTGGGAGGATAAATATAATCAAACATGTATAACATTTTCAAAATTTTCGTAAAAGAACTGTAATTTATTTCTGGAAACATTTTGTCTAAAAGGAAGTCAGTTCAATTCAGGTAAAATTTCCGTTTTCATTGAAACCTCTGAAAGCTTGAAAATTGCTAAAGTTAAACTTTTCTCCTAGCTGGTATTTTGCAATTTTCCCTACAAAATTATATTCAAAGCATTTCAGAATATGAGCATCTTCTCTATTTCAAACAAATTAAATCCCATATTGAGAATTTTAGGGGAGATAATTTATAGAATTCTCTGTTCCTTTGAATAAAATTAAGATAGGATTTCTGTTCATTCATTATTTTAATGATGTACTATAATGAAAAAGTCTTGATAGCTAGTTATGCTAATTTTTCCTGTACATTATGCATTGGAAAGCGGATGAAGTGTCAGTATCAAAGGCAATTTAATTTCCAAGATCATTATTATTGCTTTTCAAACATCAAAAGTTAGGTATTCCAGTTAAACAACTAAGATATTAAAAATTAATGTCATTTGAATTTCTTTTATTAATAGCTTAATAGTCTGAATAATATCCTGATAAAATGAAAAATGTCTTACTCTGCTGTCAGTGATATTTAACTTGGTATATTGATATATCTGTTTACTTCTTTATTAGAATAAAGGGAAGGAATAATAAGTTTGTTTCTGTTGGCTAAAACAGTAATAAGATTTTCATGAAGTCATTTTGGATGTAATAGGTACTAAACACAATTTATAAATATTTTTATGTGATTTTTATGGCTCAGTATAGTATTAACCCCTTGGTTTGATATATCTAATTCAACTTTCTCCTTCTTTGTATCATCATCTTCCATATTATCAATAAATATTATCTCTCCTAAATAAAAAAAACGTAAGTTGTCTCAGTTACCCTTCATGTTACCTTGTTGAATTAGCAATTACATTGGAATTACTTTCCATAACGTGACTGTCTTCCATAATGTGACTTTGTTACTGTGTAACAAACATGAATTTAATAATTCAAGTTGTTGAGAACATTAGTCACCCAAATTGGGAATTGAACCCAGGTTTCCCGGTTGGAATGTCTAATGCTTCAAACAATTTGAACTATGTTTCGTTGCTTTCACATTTACTCTTTATAATTATTATTTCATTTATTAAAAATTCATTCTGTGGAGTTCAATTATCATTCATATATCCAACTCAGACATGGTTCTTACACTGTAAGAGTAAAACTAAATATATCCTTTTTTCTGCAGAATGAAAGTGAAGAAATGATGCTTGGTCATGACTGTAGTCCACAGCCAGAATCTTCAACTGGTGCAGGTGACTCATTGTCTGAAGTATTTATGGAGCCTCTTCTCTTGGATGAACCCACATCAACCTATGAACCTGTGGAATTCAATTTTGAGTTTAGTGACCACAATTATAGGTAAGTGAATTATTAACTAGTATTTTGTCTTTTAAATTAAATAATGAAATGAAGTCAAATACTTTTGATTGGAATATTAGTTAGAAAAATCAAAAAGTGTCCTGATATTTGTATCAAATGAAATATATTTTTTTTTGCTTTTTGTATTATGGTATTAAATTTGTTAACAGTTATCTATTATTTAAAGTTATTAACATCAGGCTGAAAAACAAAAAATTGTGTTCCAGATATTATGATGTTGGTACGCCAAGCTCGTCGTTGAGTCCAGCTTCTTCAAGTTGTCTTCAGTCTCCGGGGTCCTTTACTCTGGATTCTCCTTCCCCGCCTCCAACTACAGCTGATTTTTGTGAATTTTTCCAAGCATCAAGTAGTGTATTTGAAAAGGATTTCTCAAATTTAACTCTCTCAGGTAAAGAAGATTCTCATTTTATTATTACATTATAAATGTTGGGAAAATTAGTGTTTGTTTTCACTTTTTAATTTTTAGATAAAGAACAAAGAGAGTTGTATGAAGCTGCCAAAATTATTCAAAAAGCATATCGTTCTTACAAAGGCCGAAAGAAATTAGAAGAACAGGATAAGGAGCGAGCTGCTGCCGTTCTCATCCAGAACTATTATCGAAGATATAAACAGGTGTGTATAACACCGATTAATGGATTTTTCTTTGTCAAAACCTATTGAGAAGTATTTGAATATTGCAGTTAATTTAAGTTTATTCACTAATAATTCTTAAGGTCTAGTAATACACTATTCAAAAGAATAATTGTACAAGTTTAATGTTTTGCCTAGTGATATTACATAATAATAAAAGGGTTTTAATGCATTATGGATGAAGCATTTTCTGCACAACATTTAAAGGAGAAATCAAATTGCATTTAAATACATGCCCTTGTTTTATGAGTTAAATATGATTATGTTTCTTATTTGTTTGGACTAGGTCATGAGGGTTATAGATTAACCATTGCAATTAAACTATTAAACTTGCTTGCAATTCACTTTTGCATGTATTACCCTGACCACATGCATACATCATGTCATATTTCAAAACTTTTTAAAAATAATTTCATTGTTTTGCAATATCACGTTCATTGCGTTAACAACTTCTAAAATAAATTAAGACTTAATTGTGTAAAAATATTGAATATACAAAATCTATAGTTCACAATAATACCAAACGAGTTATTGGAATTACAGAAGGCTGAAAAATGTTCCCTGATTCCTTTAAACTTCTTAAAAACACCTCTCTGAGAATAGTTCTTAAACCAAATTGATTTATATAAATTTTAATAATGGTAATTCAAAGTATTTCAATATATTTTTGAAATTTGGTTGTGAATATAAGATTTTGTAAATCAAACTTGTTCACCACAATCTCTTCAGAATGCTTTTTTGATTGATCATTTAGTTTAATTGAAAGTGTTAAAATTTTTCTTATTCACGTCACTTGATTATGATTTGTTCTTGAGAAAAGAGTAGGTGAATTCTAGTGAAGATTCAAATCAATATTATTTTCTTCTCTTTTCTGTATTAAATTTCTATTCACTTCATTTTCAGAAAAGTAATTGTATAGTCCAGTAATACTCTCAACCTTTTAATACTTGTTTTTATGTGCTCCTGATCTGTGAGGAAGTTTTACTTAATAATGAAAATTACTTTCATGCCATAAAATCTTTCGTACTATTCTTATCTACAACAAGTATTTATGTTTCTTTGTTTTTAAATGTCTTGAAAATATTATTATGATTATTCTACTACATTAGAACAGAACCATATTCATTTGTGATAGATTGAGCTCCTTGGTGCATTTTTTCATTAAGATTCTCACTCGTGATTTGAAACCAAGTACTGTAAATTATTATCTCCTGCCTTATTCACTGAATCAAACCAAACTCCTCTTCAGCAAGTAAGGCTAAATGCCATTATTACTGCACAATTTTTGTTGTATTTTAGTATTCTGGTCATTGCCAAGTTAAAAAAAATATTATCATGTTTGTAAGTATCTGATAGTACTGTTTCCTCTTTTATCATAGTGTTACTGATTCCCTATCCAAATACAGATCACAAACCATAAAAAAAAGAAGCAGAGAAAAAGTAAAAACAATATAAAGTATTTTCAGATTATTATGAAGTGTACTGTGTTCTTTGAATTATGTGATATTAACTATTCAGATTTAAATGTAAAATCAAAAACCTTTTGAATCATGTGAAGTTTGAGTATAGTTTCAACTTAAACGGTATTAAACAATCCATTGCGGATGTAAAATATGATTCTTATCAATCTTTCAATTAAACTAATGGAATTACTGAAAGTGCAGGTTTCCATGGCCAGAGTCAATAGTAAATGTAGCTTCAGTAAGCTACTCTACACCCAAAAGTGCACCCAGGGAAATGTAAAGTTGACAATGTAAATATAATTTTGAAGGTTTGAATCAATGAAAGTCTTAAAAGGCTGGTGTAGATTGTGATAATAAATTATGCGTTAGTTCCAAAAATGTCAAGACAACCATTTCAAAAGATAAAAGAGTGCCATGTTTTTATAACTACATTTTATACACACCTACAGTGCACTATCCAAAATGTGCTCAGTAAATATTGAAATTTATTGTCATCCAAATTATTCAGAATATGCAGGGTGCAGTTTCAATATAAGAAAAATATTCAATCTTTATTATTGTACTAAACAAAATGTTTCTCTATTATGTGCATGTAGTGAGTTACCTTATGAAATAAATACAAAATCTGAATTATTTAAATATTTCTGAAATTATTTTCAAGACAAATTAACAAGTAATTTTCAATATTAAGATCTTAAATATACTGTCAAGTTGTATTTCATGACTTTTATTTATCAGTGTTCTTATTCATTTGTTTTTAAGTACTAGTTGAGAATCAAACTGAATCGGAAATATCAAAGTTCTCGTAAGAGAACTCTCGTTAATTATTTTAGAATTCGGTTAATTGAGTTTATCTTCTCGCATGGCCGGTCACACAGTATGCTTACTTCAAACAAATGACGAAAGCTGCAATGGTGATCCAGAATGGCTATCGGTCTTATTGTGAACACAAGCGCTTCAAGAAGAGCCAAGAAGCTGCTGTTTGCATCCAGAACTACTACCGCAACTACAGGGAGCAGGGGGGGAGAGGGAGCCGAGAGGGAACACCGACTGCTAGCAGCAGTGGGCTCAAGTAAGTTCGCTTCCTCTCCTGCCTGCTTCAGTGTGGCTGTGTGCTCTGTGGTAGTTCCGGACACAGAGGGTTTGTTCCCTTTGTGTACTGCTCAAGCAGCTTGACCTCTGTTCTGTATTGCAACTTGGGATCTTCTTTCTTGTTTGTTTGTGTCCTCTAAGTGTCTTTTGCCTGATTGTCTTTGGTGTTGGCTAAAAATGTAGTAGACAAACCATGTGAAATTATTGTATTGAAATGTTCTCAAATAAAAGTCTTGTCTGTGTTGTGTGTTATGGTGATACTTGCTACATTTGTGTGTTTGTTATTTGTAATATTATATTGCAATGACAGCACCTTTGACTTGAAACAAAATGTTAAATCTAGATGTTCAATTGGAACAAGTACTTCATATGTTGTATGAATGACTTCATTTTCAACATTTTCAATGAAAAATGTTTGAAAGTATTGTCTTGATATTGTCTATATGTGAATGCAAATCTCATCTAATAGAAGTATTAGACATATGTAACATTTATATACATGTATGTCTGTTTTGCACGTGCATGAATCTAATAACTTTTATACAGAAAGGAAGAAGAATTTGACAGGTAAAAATTGCTTTCAAAATCATTGAAAGCACATTGTACTATTCTCTGAGTGAAATATTTTAGCTTGTCAATACTCTAACATTTTAATACATTCTAGCGTGAAGAAACCCTTTTTCTTCATTCTCTACTTCACATTATCTCTTGAATATTTCTCTTCAAATCAATCTATGAATCATGAACAAAATATTTGTCATATGCATTGACATTTTTTTACTTCAGACGGACTTATTCTCAACGACGCCAACATCAAGCAGCACGAAAAATCCAACAATTTATGAGGCAATCCAAGAACAAGTAAGTACATTATTCTTAATATTTATTAAAGAAATATTACCATTCTATCCCTTTTTACTATGGTATAGAGTTTCTAGGCATCTCTGTTGTCAAAAACTGTCTTGCTTCATTTAATAGCAGCAAACATTTTTTTTCATTATTGAAACGTAATTTCAAAGTAATGTGTTGTAAAACTTGTTTTGAATGAACTATTCATTATGCTGCTATAATGAGCTGTACGTTTTGATTGTACTGAGTAAGCAACATTGTTTATTTATTATAATTTTCATAACTATATTGAAAATAATTTATGTTGGAAGTGGCAAGTTACTAAAGAATTTGTCTCTATAACTATTATTTCTCTTATTAGCTCACATTTTTAGAACCATTTTTATAGTAATAAGAGCAATGTGTTTGATGTATCTATAATGCAATGATTTCTTAACTCAAACAACCACCACAGTTTTAATTTATTCACTCTTGTTAGGCAACCAAATAAATATCAGAACTTCTAGATTAGAAATGTATTAAACATAATGGTGTAAGTTAAACAAAATATTTTTTGAAGGGACAACCGAAAAACAATTTTGGTTTGAGTAGTTGTCACTTAATAAACACTTCATCCCACCTTAGCACACCCCCTAATCAAACTCCTGTCTATCGTAGATGAACACTCAAATTCTATTAACTGAAGAAATACATACTATTTTCTACTTCATTATCACCACTATCTTCAGTATTGAACACTTGTATTGTGTTGTCAGTAGCATGCAAATATAAATACATACTAATTATTTGCATACTAACTGATTGCCCGGCATTGTCCAGATATTTATTTCTCACCCATTAAGAAAGCCAGCCTTGCAAGCTTTGCCAGTTTCCCCCTCATGCCCTACCTAGCCTGACATGGTTTTGCCTTCATCTCCCACCCATCCATCCTTCACTTTCCACTTTATCTGTTCCTGCTTCTCATCACTCTTCAGCTATATGTTCTGCCCATCTTACTCAGTCTGCCTTCAACTCCTGCCCCATTCATCCAGCCCCTTCTGCCCTCTCTGTTACTCTCGCTTATCATGATTCCTTCATTTCCTCTGTACAACCTATTCAGCATGCCATGGTCGTCCTCCCTCCCTTCCCATCATGCATATTCCTTTCTATATGTTCCTGTCATTCATAACACTACATCCCCTATCCCACAAGCCCTGTTGGGTCTCCATGACACTCCTGCCCATATCTCCTTCCCTGCCCATCAAGCCAAGACCAACTACAATACCTCTAGATTTGTAGTTGGCCTTGCATCCAGCCTTCTCTGCTTGATCACTTCTTCCCACACAACACACTTTGTCCATCTTCTCTGCAAACCCTTTCTGACCTGCTGTGGCTGTCCTTTCTCCATGCTGTGGTCGCCAATATCTCCTGGTCCCACTTAACCAGACTACTCCGCTCTACCTGATTCTCTTGCTCTTCATGCTTCGTCCATCTGTTCTGTACGCTCTATCTGACATACCATTGCAGACCTACCAGTACCTCCATTTGGCTCTTTCCACTCTCTCTCTTTCACTTGTCAGGCTGCCCCCGTCTTTCCTATACACCTTACCTGGTGTACCATGGCCACATTGCAAACATCACCCACCCAGACCCTCTATCGTTATGTAGTCGGTAAAGTTTCAGAATTCAACTCTCAATGCTATTGGGCTGTGATGCCCATAAAGTAATAGATTCAACTAGCTAACCCTTTAGCATTGAGAGCATTGTAAAGTCTTCACCTTTACAAACCACTTAACAACACCCTTTTACAAACCACACAACAAAATCTTATTCACTTTAGTCATGTATTTTCTTTGAATATGACAGGAGATATAATAATTTGGCAAGATCTTTTGAACAAAATTCTTAAAGACTTTATACTATGTGTAATAAATAACCAGATTGTTCCTGAAATAGATATTCACTGCATTATTGTGCACTGAGTATTCAACAAATTTTTAAAAGTTACCTGGCGGTAAAGACATAACTGTCTTTGAAACATTGTGATATGTAATAAACAGATATACTTGGGGTGTAACAGTTTTTTTTCTTCTTCTTCGTGTTTTCAATCCTTTTTGTCTCAAATAAGTGGAAACTCTCATTATTTAATAAATTATTTTGAAAATAAAATTGGTATTTTTGCAGGGTGTAAACACGATCACTAATTGAATTTATCATTGCAACATGTGGATATACACTAGTTTAATTTATTGTCATTTTACTCTTTTCACAAGAATTTCAGTAGGCTATTTTATCTTATAACTAATGGACCAGGCAATGTTTTGCTATTGCAATGTATTACACTAGACTGCGATGTATTACACAGATTTCTTCAGCATAATGTTTTATGCTGCACTCTGCAAACATTTTAATACATGAAAGACTTTCTCACAGTATGGGTTTGTTCATTGCCCTGATTTGGATATGGCTGTCAAGGATCATATTGTTAAAATGTTCTCCCTCAAATTTGGGCATACATTCCCTGTGACACTATCTCGCAGAAATTTGATTTCCTTGTCAGAGTTAACATTCAAGTAATAATTCTGGTCAAAATTTCACAATCGCAGGAGGAGAATATGCAGTGAAGACGCGGTTAATTCTTGAAAGTGCAGTGGGTTGCGTAACTTCAGTTCAGGGGTGCTTGGGTCAGCATAATCACATAAAATAATCATCAACACACTTCTATGTGAGACAGACATATGCACAGTCCCATTGTACATATATTATTTGTGCAAGTACAAGCAGGTAAAATTTTATCACAATCAAATGAACGTTATGATTACACATAAAATGCAAACAAACAAACATTTTTATATATTACATATCATGAGATATGAATATGTCTTTTTCGTCATTGGATACTTCATATTTTGTCATTTCCTGAATTTGGATTCTCTCTAAATAGACTTCTGGAATGTACTTATGTTAATTGTTAATTTATGCTGGATTTGTGTTTCTTTTTATATGGTTTTGTACAACAATTAGATCTTCTTATAAAACACTGATATACATTTGCTTATTGATCATTTTGTGCCAGTTGTAATTTGTACATAATTTACCAAACACTTCACTTTGTCCCAACACATAGATTGCATGCAATCCTTGGTGATCATAAGAGGATTTTCAAAGCAGTTGGTTGCCAGCCTCCCCTTCATTATGTCTCTTCTGATTTGCTGTCACTTCCTTTACAAGTTTTCTCCATCTTGTTCTGTCTTGTGTCATATTCATTGCTTCTGTCCATGTCATGTTGGTTGCTTTTTTGATTTCTTCATGCCTTCTTATTTTCTGTCTTCCCCGATTTTGGGTGCTGTCCATTATTCCTAGCATCTTGTCTTTCACCTGGGAGTCTGATCTTCTTGCAATATGACCCAGGAATGAGAGTTTTGTTTGAGGGCTCTGGCTTCTATTGAGCATTCAGGTTTCACTTCTTCATCTAATGTGGATTTATTTATTTTATTTTTTTTTTTTATCTGTCCAAAGGATTTTCAGTAGTTTCCTTCAGTACCACATTTCAGAGGCATCTATTTTTCTCCTTTCAATTTATCTTAGAGTCCAATCTCCACATCCATAAATTTCAAAAGAAAATATGACAGTTTGTATTAGCTTGACTTTAGTCTTCATTGATAACCCTGAGACTTTAATGAATTTGTTACATTTTTTCATGGCTGCCTTTCCCAAAAAATTCTATTTTTCATCTCTGAAGTGTAGCATCCATCTTTTGTTACATGCATTTGTTACATCCACATTTTGTTGCTTACATTTTTTTCTCTCCAAGACTTCACTGATTTTATTTGCTGATTTTAACTATTCACCATTTATCTGTATTTTCTCTCCGTATCCTGTTTTGATTATAATCTTTTTTAAGTTCAGCTTGAGCCCTGACTTTTGACTTTTTTCTATCACTTTCTGTAATAACTGATCTAAACCTTTCTTACTTTCTGCCATTATTGTAGTATCATCTGCATAACAAACATTATTTGGCATCCTCCAATTACTTCCATTTTCATCCCAATAGGAATATACAAAAAATGCAATACACGTTTCAGGCAATTGCCTGAATTTTTGTTCATGTAAACACACTGGAAAATAAAAAATTAAGAAGTAGTTTCAAACATATTTAACAGTGGTGAAATTTTGTTGGTTCAATAAAGAAATGTCAAATGCTTTGCCATTGGTATCTTTCTTGGTGATACTAAACCTTGAAACAGGCTCTTGTTGGATCATGAATTCATGACACATTTTTTTTTATTTTAAATTGAAGATTGAAAGAAGTTTATCTGGACAGTTTCCTGTTCAGTCCAGATAGTACAGCCTCCTGTACTGTCCAAGTAGTGTTTACTACTTTCAAGATCAAACCAAAGGCATTCTGCTTGAAATATAACATAACTTGATGTTTGACATTCAGTGAATGGTTAGGCTGTCAAACACAACATAGCCTAAAATGTATTGTGTTTTGTTAGAAGTAACAGTCTGATAAATACCTAATTAACATTAGGTTGCGCATAGTAAAAGATTAAAAATTCTAATAATATTCTACAGCATTAAAAAATTGTTTCGTAAAGAGATGTATACTGAAAAGCATTCTAGGTTAGTTTGTACACTTCACTTTTTTTCCACAGTTAGAAAGTCCATTTTGATTATTTTTAAAAGGTTTTATGAAGGCCATTCTAAATTACTTTTCATCAAATTTTTCAAACATATAATAAACAATAGTAACATTAATTTTTTATGTAATTTTGAAAATATAATTTTCAATACTTAGAGCATGCCTGTTCTAAACAACATGCAAGGACCTAAGACTATCAAAATGTTAAGTAAAGTGGAGAAGGGGATACAAAATGAAATACTGTTTTGAGGGGATATATTATTTTATATGTTTTGTATGGAAGGAAAAAACATGGAATGCACAACCTAATGTTAATTAGGTATTTATCAGACTGTTACTTCTTACAAACCACAAAACATTTCAGGCTATATTGTGTTTGGTACCCTAACCATTCACGGAATGTCAAACATCATCCTTAATTTTTGGTATTTTATGCAGTGCCTGCTGCTCTAACTTACTTCTCAATTAGATCTATTAGACATTTAATTTCTCAATTTAATATATCTTACATATGTGTGTGTTTTAAGATAATGATAATAATTTATAAACTGGTACTTAATTGAAAATTATAAATTAATTTTATTGAGTGGTTTTTGTTTTTATTTGTACCATTACTAAAAAAGTGTGATGGATAACTTGTCAACTGCTTCGGTGTTATATAATGTCTATCTACCCTAACCTTGATTAGTTAATCCTAAGCAAAACATGTCTGTAACAAAGGAGGCAATTTTAAAACAAGGTTATCTTGTGTGTGTGTGTGTATTATGTGCAAGTTCAAAGGAGTTATTTTTTCCATGGTTAAATAATACATGCTCATTTAATTATGTTTTTAGATGACATGTGAACAAGTTATTAAGTTAGCTATTGATACTGGCATACATCGATCTAGTAATTATCTTCAAAATTTTTAATGCTTTTCACATAATTAACATATAATGTAATCATAGAATTAAATACTTAAACCTGCTGACACTAACATAATCCTCTTCCTCTCTCCATTGCTCTCTCAGTGTATGGGAAGTTACACCTACCAGCACGGTGAGTGGGGCTGTATTTTTGCCATCATTTTATGATAGTGGCATTTCTCAATCTTCTGTAAATTATCTTTTCATTTCCTTTCCTTTTCATAGTTTATATTATCCTTTTTATTTATCCTTTTCTTTGTGATTCCACCCTCTTCTTTTTTCTCTGTTTGACTATCTTTTGAAATTTCAATAAATATTTTTTAGGTAATTAACTTATAAAATCTTGCTTGATGTATGTCATGATACTTGTTACCCCAATGATGGTTCTATTTTTGAATCAAGAATAAATATGACCTTCATCTTGCACAACTTTGCTGCATTGCATAAAATGACAGTTTCAGTTGTTTTTTTGTTTTAAGAACTTTTTGTTTTGTGAATTGCATATAAGTAAATAATATTTTATAATGTAATACAGTGTTTCAATTTTTGATATATGCAAAAGTTATGAAAATATTACTTTTAGTAAAAATATGTAATTGGTTGTCATTGAAGAACCATTTATATGTCTTGCCTCTGTGATGTCCAAATGGTCTGATTATTTATCTTGTCTTTGAGATGTTCAAATTCTGTGTTAATGTATCATGTCATATGTCAAATGCTGAAATAAATGTTCTTTAATGCTATTAACTGCGCAATAACCGTTCCTTAAACAAATATTTTACTTCACATACTATTATATTCCTTCTCAATTGATTTTCATGAATTTCGATCTTGCTTTTCTTCTGGTAGATTGCAGAGAGAACGAGCTTTGGCAGCCGAAAGAGAGAGGCAGGAGGTCCGGTCAGTGGATGCCCTCCAAAGGTCGCGTTGTCCCGACAGTTTGGAGTGCTCCAGCACCGCTCCAAGTAATGGAGGCAATGCTTCCTCCCTCTCTGGCAACAGGTATGTGCATTGTTATTGTGATGGTTTTGAACAATTAAGTAGTCACACTGATGTGTACATTAAATCTACATTTCTCTTCAGAATACATAAGATTTCTTATTGTAATGTAAATATTTGCCTGTGACCTATGTTATCATACCTGTACTGAATCTGGTGACTTTCTACTCAATTTGCCTTATTAAATCCTAATATTAAATTCAGTGAAAATCTCAAGGATTATGTTGCATATGTATGGTATATACCATGCAATTGCTTATGTGAACAGTATTTTGCATGAGCTGTTGCATTTTTAGAAAGCCTTTACTATCATGATAAACCCACATATTGAACTATTTTTGTAATTGATATTGATTTATTGAATGATCATTTCCACAATATGAAATGTGCAATGTTGAATTCATGGAAAAAAAGAAGAAAAAAACACCCACCACCACCACACCTCTTTGAAATAATTTCTTTCACTGGAAAAATAATTATCTTTTATATTAATTCAATTCTTAATCCTCTCAATTAAGACATTGATTCAATGTTATTTGCATACATTCAACTTCTGAGACCTGTTGCAGAAAATGGTCTTCTTAGAGATTTTGAAACAAGGACAAGATTAAAGTGAATAACACTGATTAAATTTAAAAGAAAAAAGAATCTATTTATAAATACAGGCTAGATTCATATTCAGTAAATTTTTCAACTTACTTTTTCAGTTAGAAGTTTCTAAATTCCTCCTGTATTGTTAATATTGTTTACCTTTCTTACATGACAAAATAATTAATATGCATGAAACTGTTATGAGAAACTGTACTACATTTTTCTCTCTTTGAGGAAATGCCTTTAGGTTGATTCATTTCAGTGCTTTGAATAAATTGAATTTCAAAGCATGCACTACATTTTTTGATCTCTTGGCCTTTCTCATAGAGGAAGGAACTTGAATGTTTTAACATTTTTGCACGTCTTCCCTATAATTGTCAGGGTGATGTTTTCATATTGGACAGTTCTCTTAATCTCTTCACAGGCACCAGGAAACGGAAGAAATGGACACCTCAGAAAAAACATGATTATTTTGGTGTTACAAGAACACAACATGACATAATATGGCACAAGGCACTGACTTCGTGGCAAGTCTTCCATGAAATGCCAGCAGTGATGTAAATGAGCATCTTGCATCACTCTCAAACTGGCAGTGTCCAGATATTAGTATTATTTATCCATACCAGTTAAGATATTGAAGCCTATTAAAAATATTATCTATTGTTTATTTGCAAATAATACTTTGTTCCTTAGTTAGGTGCTCATCTGTTAATTTATTAATTTTCCTTTTTTTTAATTTTCCTTTCCAAATTACTGGTGTCACTCATTAAATGTTAAGTTTAATACTATTATGAAAAATAAACTTTGTTTGATGATAAATATGAAAGCAGTTACTTTTCATATACTAAAAAAGTGTTAGAAAATTTTAATTTTCTTTTTAAATGTTCATTATTTATGTACGAAATTATAAATGGACATGACAAAGTTGTAGATTGACTAATATGTTCTGCTGATTATATGTAACAGTTTTTCTGAGAAGAACTCTTACTAAAATATAATACTTTCAAATACCCGCACCAAGTTATTTTTTCTAGAAACTTTTATGTGAGGTGTGGATATGTTTTGGTAAAGAATGATGATAAAATGGTATCACCATAAATGAGCATGAAATGAAAATCTTATTCCAATACAAAGAAATAAAAAGGAACAGGGTATTTGGTGTTGAATAAATTTAAAATGAAATTGTTTGTGTAGAAATAGTAAAAGAACCACACTTATGCAAACTTGTAATTAAAAAATATTTCAAAATTTTGTGAATATTATGAACTAAATATTGTACTAAGTTCATATCTACTGATAATTATTTACTCATTTACTTAACAAACATAATAGTGTAATGTACAGTTAATCTGGACATATTGTCACATCAAAGAGACTGTTAGAGGGTTAGTAATTGGCAGATGCAAAGACAGTATTCTTTTTGTATTTTTTATTTTGAAGTCAAAAATACTATTTTGTTTTGTTGCTGTATCCTGAAATTGCTAAAATTCTGTTTCACTCTTTGTCCGTGATAATTATTTTCTTATCTTTTGAAATAGATTATTTTTCATTATTTATAGTTATATTTTCTTCACTTTCAAGATATTCTATAAAGAGTCTATTCAGTTACTCTATAAAGAAATACTGTTAGAAACATCTGTCAAAATTTGTTGAAAATAATTGACCACAATTTCAAAATTACAATCATCTTGTAATATAAGAAAGATACATTGAAGCATTGAACATACATGTATTTTTATTGTTACTTCTTCAGAGAATAACAATTGTTCACATGTTCAGCATGTGTTGATGTTATAAAGGGGCAGGTCCTCCTCGGTTTCTGAAGGAATCAACATTTCTGGAGACACAGAGTTGCAAGCAAAGGAGGAGTTACTTATTAATTTTAAATGATAAAATTTATATTCTATATACATATATATTTCGTAACAGTAAGAAATTAGTTGGAGCATATTTAAATGCTCATGATATAATGTGCAATATGAACTGTTTATAAGTTTTTTCCAAATATTCTTTTGTTATATTTTCTTTAGATGCATGAATTTTAGAGAGAAACACAAACAAATATTAATATAGGAATAGAAAAAATATTATTTATAAGTTCACACATTTAATGACTTTCACATAAATTATAAACAGTTCAGAGTATCAATTCCCATACATGGGTTGGGGTGCTGTTGATTTTAGGGGATGAGTCTTGTAAGAGTTGGGGCGGGGAAGTTATGAAGAGCAGATAGCATTGAAAAGTGAGATATTTGAAGCTGTGATGTAGAAAGCAGAAGTTTTTTAAAAATTGAATTATCTAGAGGAGTTAAGGTATTCAACTTAACTGCTAAGAGTTTTTCTTAGCACCTTGTATATAATTATAATAATAAAAGTTAGAAGTTAAAATTAAAGATACTGCACGAAAAGTTACAAACTACAGTAGCTAACTGTGGTGTACTTAATACACAAAGCTGTTCTCTTCATTAAATTAAATCGTGCATCTATCCCTTTATTAATTCTGCTCTCTTTCTCTCTTGTGTATTATTGTACTATGCGAGTCTTCTCAATACAAAGAATGAAGTTTGAGCAGATCGTGCATTTGAGGAAGATAAATTATGATAGTCTTACAGAATCATCTTCTTAAGCTTTAATTCTCTTGGATAACCAAAAGTCTTCATTATCATAGTGTGTAAGAAAAAACATCTAATGTTATAGGCCCTTTACAAAAAATGGCTTTGTATGAGTGTGCATTACAAAATGCCTCAATAAGAAACAATCATGACTGCTTATATACCTACACAAATATAGCTGAGGTCCTGGACATTTCTATATTTACTTGTTTTTGTCATTTTTCAAAACGTTATTTTTGTATTATGTAATATAAATATTCAGCCCTATTAATTTTTATATAATGCATCAAGAAATCATTGTATTAAATCTTCACCTTTTAAAAATATTCACCACTGAACAAATGCAAATGTGTATTTTTACGGCACTTGCATCCCCTTTATATCACATTTTGTCATGTAGTTCTTCAAGAGAAAACAAATCAATTTCACTGCTCTTTACAGCATATTTTTGGTTTGATAGAAAGAAAACATGCTTCAGTATACATTGATTGCCTTGTTGTAGTGTAGCTCGTCGCATCTTCTTTATATGAATACAATGAAATGTGATGTTGCTTGTAATCTACAATTTATGCTTTTTCCTATTTTCTTCTTCTTCTTGTCTTCCCCTAGATTTGAGTACATTTTGAAAGTACATTTTATTTCTTTATTTTCTAGAATTGTGTTAAGTTTTTTTCATTTTGTTCATTAAAAAAAATCCACATTTATAATCAGTCTGTGGTATGACTATTTACTTAAGTAGTTTTCAATGTTATCAGCATGGATATTTAGTGAGTATCCTTAAGAGAGAGAGAGTACTTTGCAAATTATTTTAATTGGTTGTTATGTGATTATTGAAATATAATAATTTTTAAATAGCACTCTCTTTGAGATTGCATTTGCAAATGACCATTCAAAAAAATTGAATGCCCAATATCTTTCTACATTGGGAATATTTCAAGAAGTTTGATGACTTAAAAACTTAACATATAAGCTTTAATACATAGATCATTATTCATCAATAATGATGCAATCCAACTTACTCCAAAACAGTAGGCGCTCAGAGCTGAAATTTTCTCTTTTATACTCATCAGAGATTAATAAATGAACAGTAATTGTTCTCTTTCTCAATTATTATGACTTAGAATGTCTGTACACAAGCAATGCACACAGCAATATTTCATATGTAGATGATATTTTATTTTTGAACTTTTGAATTGCTACCTGCTTTTTTATTGTTTTAAGTTTATTTTTTTATTACTTGTAAAGAGCAGAAATATTACTTGCCCGATACCTTAAATTTAAAGAAACTATTCTCTTAGGTTCTTATATTGCTTTGAGTTGTCTTATCTGCCTTCATGCACAGGATTGTTTTTTATATGATGAATGTTTTGCAAATGTGTAATAAGCATTTAGATTAATGTGCATCTCAAATATGTTTCAGTAGTTTATGTTCTGTTAGTTCTTAAAATGGCTTCTAAACAAAACAATTACAATATAATTGAAAATTGGCCTTAAAGAGTTTCATATAAAATGAATAAAATAGGGAAGGGGAATAAAGAATTACATCACAGAATGGCAATGAAAATTAAACAATATATGACAATTAATGTAATGACTTGAAATAAACTTGCAAGAACAACTTTCAATATTTATATTGTTTCACTGCAAATCAGCATTGACTTTTAAGGTACCTATTAAATGAAATGTCAATACAGGATATTTAATTGGGCAATGTTACATATTCAATATTATTGTGTGTTTAGAAGCCACAAAAAATGTACTTCTCTTGCACAGCAGAACATATTAGGTATATGTATGAAATATATGTTCTATTGAATTCTGTTCAGGTAAGTTGTTGCTAATTTATTAGTTACGGTTTGTCAGATTTGTATTATATTGCTGCACTTCTGTTCATGTTGGTTTGTGACTTCTGTAGCCTTCTATATATGTTTTCAACCCTTTATTTACCTTCTGAATTGGCTTACTCTTATTTTTATGCTGCTCATTATGTTTGAATATTAATATATGTAAATAATATTTTTCATGTTAATATAGCAGTATTCTCTTTGCAACTTTGGTATCTTGTCACTGAAGCTTACAATTAAAATGTCTTTGCATGACTACATTGTGATGTAAGAGATTGCTTGTTCAGTGCTCTTTATCTAGAAAAATATCTGAAAATAGATTTTATACAGCAATCCACTATTCTTTTCTCTTTCAAGATTTTCAACAAAACAACCATTGTTTAATTTTTGCTTAAAACTAAAATTTTACTGCATAACCACTGCCAATTTTTTACCCGAATGTTATGAAAAATGGAAGAAAATGAAATAAACGTAGTGGTATATTTTATTCCACTTATGTAAAGTATTAGAAAATTATGACACAGTGATAGGAAAAAATACTATTTTAAAGAATAACTTGTTAAACAATTTTATCTTATAGATTTAATTACATCCATGGGAAATTGTTCCTCTTGTAATATTTATTAACATAGAAAAAATAATTATATGTCTCATAAGTTCGTGATATATAGCTGCTACAGTTTGTCATGTTCATGAACCTTATCCTTGCATATGTCCTTTTCATTATAATTACTATTAATATAAAATTTAATTAATCTCTTATCAACTACTATTATGAAGTGCTTAAGAGTTCTTGCAAAGACTACATAAATAGTGGTAGTTTCTACGTAGAATACAATTAGACTTGCAGGGAGAAGTATTTCTTTTTGATGTCCTTTTAATATGCGAAGTCAGAGTATATCTCTTCTGATATACAATCTGTAATTTTTCATACAAGGATATTACAATTGTTCTTCAAAATTTACTTTCCTTATTAATCTAGTTGTATCAAATTTGCATATGTCTGAGTACATGTCAAAATTTATAAAAGTGTCTCAAAATTTTTCTATTTAGTTTAAGAAATAATATTTAATTTTATATTGATAGATTCATAAGTGTAATGTTCACCAATGCAGCTTGAATTGATTCAAGAAACATCAGTGAGCAGTATTGCATAATATTGTGTTAAATATTGCAGCACAATTAAATTATGTTGTTAAAATTAAACTATTTATTAGATATTGTACAAACAATGTTAAACAATGATCTAATTAAAGTATATTTGCCACGGAATGTTTTAATGAAGCTTACCATCAGATTTTACATTTTTACACTCACACATCTATATATATATATACACAAGAAAACATAACTAAAACAAATTTCATAGCTATAATATGCACATATTTTTAACTTTTCAGATTAATTGTGCATAGTAAGGCTGATTCTTTTTGTTCCAATACGAGGTACATGTTTTATTTTCTGTTCTTTTATGATGAGTTGGCCAAATATTATAATCAAAAACAAATTCAATAAAGTTTAACAGTAATTAGAAGGATGAAAGCAATACAACGGAAATGGAAGGAGCTGGGGGTACTAAAATAAAGCTTTTTCGTATACTTGTACTAGTCTTTCGTAGAATCCCAGGAGAGAAGAAAAATATAAACATAATATGCTGAATCAATCAATTTTACTTGACACATTGAAAATTACAATATAATCAACACATTTTTACAGTACACAAAGAATAGAATGGCTTTTTGCGCTCTGTAATTCAGAGCTTTTATAATGTATTGAAAACTAAGACTGTAGTAATTATGGAGAATTGTACTTCATATTACATTATCTGCAATAGAATATCCCTTATTATGTCCTGAAAAGGACATGAAATTTTTATCTTTGATGACATGTAATTTTCTTTCTTTCTTTCTTTCTCATGGTAGGCCTTAGATACTTATTCTTGAAGCTCAGTGCTCTAAATAAACAGCATGTATTATATGATATGTTCTTAACATCCATTCATCTGATATCTTTTTATGTAGTAACCCTTGTGAGTGTTTCATTTCAAGGACGTTACTGGGTGTTCAAAAGTATTTCTGGGACTTTGCAGTCATTTTCATTTTGTTCATCAGTCACTCTCCTGAATTTCCAAAATAAGGTACTTTTGGTGAGATTTTTTCATATCAAAAAGCATGTTGATGTGTTCACTTTTTGATTTTCATTTGAAATGTGAAGTTGTTGAATATTATTGCTGTCACAACTTACTATATTCGATGTTTATGAGAGCATGTTCCTGTGTTATATGCTAATCGAGAAGCATTGCTTGAAGTTTATTATCAGGTATATTTAACAAATGTCTAAATTTTGTATATTTTTATCATTAACTTGTTATAATCATCTATTCTCTTTTTACTGCATTCCCTGAAATAACTGTAATAGCCAATAGAAGTTTGAGCACACTCGTAATTACTATATCATTATTTAAATTAATCACATTATTAATTTTGTTTATGATCACAGATTAAATTCATCAAATTGAAAGATAAGATCTTCCATGGTACTTCAAACATAATGTCAATAAATAAGATAATTTCCCGGGAACACTGTTAGTGTAGTGAATATCCTGTTCCATACAGATGTATTGATATGTGCAGTTCAGAATTTATTTTTGGTTTAAAGAAACTAGACTTGTTTTCTTCTGCCTCATATCATTCCTTCAAGTCAAGCAGTGCTTTTTGTACAAGTAGCTATTTGTTTGTTTGTTTTTTTGTTAGATTTAAATGGTTATTTGTGTATTTATTATTACTCATATTACATACTCAAACTTGGTGCTCAAACACATCACACCAGTTTTCCCTATTTATCTGCATAGAAGACATGTAAATACACAAATGAAAATAAAGAAGATAAATAATTTATGTGCATATTTGCAAATGTAAATTAACATGAAAAGAAACAACAAATGTCAAAATCCCTCCCTGTATATAGCTGTTGGACATTTAAAATTTTATTCTGTAAAAAAAATTAAGTACAGTTTTTCCTATTTACTATTATATGCGTATAACTTTCAGCAGAGAAAAAATAATAAAAATATTTGATAATCAAGTAATATTTAAAGTATGGTTGGTAGAGTGAGAATTTTTTTCAAATATGTGATTAAGCATTTAAATTTGTAGAGTATTCTGCCTTGATAAACTACAGAAAGTGCAAGTGTTTTCAGATCGTCCAAGTAATATGGTAGAGTATGCATGAGTGAGTGAATTGGCTGAGGGCTTTCAGTAGTAGAAAATTTCAACATCAAATTTACTCTCTGCTTATATTGGTAGTACAAACCATTCATACTGTATATATATATATATAAAAAAATATATGATATTCTTACATCAGTGGTAACAGTTTTGTTTATGCTGCATTTGAAATATTAGTTTTTATTGCCATTTTTAAAATATAGACTTTAAACATTTATAACAAGTAATGTTAAATAGGGCTACATGTATAAAAGGAACACTCATTAAAACATGTTCTTAAATGATATTCTTTTAAATAAAAAAAAATATACATATTTTTCAAATTTAGGTGTTTCAATGCAGTTTTGTTTCCAAGAGTTTGTAATGGAAACAAATTTAATTGGCTTTTTATGCCTGAGAAGTGTCTTGACTAACAATCGTTTTTACATTCTCTCATGAATTCATATATATATTATCTATACATACCTACTATATCTATTATATCTATATATCTATATATATATATTATATATATATATATATATATATATATATATAATATAGTATATAGTATATATATATATATATATATATATTATATATATATATATATAATATATATATATATATATATTATATATATAATTTTAATAATTTTGTTTTTCTTTATAAAAGACTCATCGCAACTCTCACGATCAAAACATAATTGAATAGAGCTTTTTATTATCTGTTTAATAACACTAACTTCTCTAAACTGGTAAAGTTTTATACATTTTAGTAATTTGAATTAAAAGCAACCTATTATAAAATTACAAGCATTTTTATTCACTTATGTGAATGTCCATTCTAATTTTAACAGAACTTAATGGTTTTATATCCAGTTATACTGTCTGTTCATGGACTGTTTGCCATGGAAATTGAAAATTAAGGCAATGAAATGGAACACCAATGTATCAAATATGAAATAAAGAAGAAGCCATTTTAAACTAGCATATTAATATATAGTTCTATAGATAGCATATTAATAAAATATAAATTTTATATATTAGTAATTTTTAATAGTTTAAAACCTGATTTTAGTCAGAACAAATTCTTCTTCCAATGTGCATACTTTCATAAAAGGACGTAAGTATGTAATTCTTTGTGACAGTTCTGTTTGAAATCTGTTTAGTCTGAAACAGATTTGCCATGACCAATTACCTAATTCAGGAAAATTATTCAAGTGCAAAATTCATCAATAAATATATTCTTTGTTGGTTTGTGAAAAGAAACAATGTCAAAACTGGTTCGTGGTTTGTTGGTGTCCATTAACATTTATTTATATCTTTCTTGAACAAACCTTTCTATACATTCCAAGTAGATTTATGATACACCTTTTTAATGAAGTTTTAATGTATAGTTTCTTTTTATTTTCAATGTCACTCTTGTTCAATGTTTATTAGTGTTTTCTGTTTTCTAATTATTCTATTTTGTAATGTGGATCATTCTTAATCAATTTTAAAGATAGATCAAATTTTTATATTTGAGCCAGCATTAAGAAAAATGTTGGTGTACACATACCATTTTTATTATTTTGCATTTTCCTTTAAATGGTGTAATGTGACATTACAATCTTGTTCCAGTTTTGTCGAAGTAGAGAATTTTTGAAATACTTTCATGTATCTGCTAGATGACTTCTTGGCTTGAAATTTTGAGTTTTTTATTTTTCTTGTCTGACTTCTCTTCCATTGCTTTGTATTCTCATGAGACATGTTTTTGCTCTTCCATCAGGAGTAATACAATAATGTTTTTTTTATATTTTTTTATGTATAAATAGTTTGTTGTTGATTAAATATTTTTGCAAGAAAAGCTAAGAAATTTATTGCTATAATTTGTCATTTGGTCTTGAAAGTGGATTTTTCTGAGAATAGGGGGAATCCTTCTGAAATATGTTTTGTATTTACAGATTTGGTTCAGATGAATGATGTTGAGCATGAATGTAATTTACTGAAAAATATCCATTTGATTTTGTGGATAGTAATGTGTAAATGCTATTGAAAAAATGTTTATGGGTGAAACTTTTTCAACAAGTACTATGTTTTTGTGAATTATTTGTGAACTTTGAAACAAATATAAAACGTATAGTTTACATTCATAAATATTGAAAATAATATATTTAAAGAATTTATTATAGTTTAACTGGTGACAATTGATAGTTTTCAGAAATATTTTGATGAGAATAACTATATTGTGGTTTTTACTTCTCAATTTTAAATGTAGTGAATTCTCCTTATTTGATGTGTTTGTTATGTGCACTTATTAAAGTTGAGAGTTGTTCTTATTTACAGTTTAAATGCTTATGATGTGAAGCTCTCTTCACATTAAAAATTATTATTGACAGAACACAAACGGAGAACATAAAATATTTATGTTCTTGCACAAATGTTGAGGAGTATTATTTTTCATTTTTAATTTCAAAAATTAACTTAATATAAGCTATATCTTCTGTTACACTTTAAATGTCTCCTTTTATTCAATTGCAGCATTCATAAAATATAAATTTGTACAAAATTACTGTTTTATTCTATGTCTTTGAAATTTAATACTTCTGAATGATTAATATCATCATGCACACTAATATTGGCCTATGAAATTTACAAGAAAATTTGCCAAGGCAACGTGTAATGTGTATGAGATATTTCCAGTTCTTCATTGTAAGAAATTAGAATTAATATTTTGAATGAGAGTGAATGAATACTGACTGTCAGGTACTTGTATTAAGTACTTCCTAATTGTTTCTTTTTAATCTTAGAAGCAATTAGTATTTTTTATAGAGTTCATTATGATCGGATTGAATACTGTTTACATGTACTATTCAATGATTTGTTGATTGGTTTGAAGTGTTTAACTCGCACTTTCTTTAAGATACTGTTGTTGATATTGGCCTAAAATTAATTCCTCATATTATTTTTATTGTTATTTCATGATACTGTAATCATATTATATGTATTGTTTGATAATATAATGTATATTCATTATAATGTTGTTATGGATTTTATATGTTTAGGTTTCTTGCAGATGTTATTATGAAACATCATTTAATGGCACTTTATCTGTTCTTGTGCCTTTCAAAGTTTTCTTCATTGTGGCATGATTACTGTTATCCAGCATCAAAAATATGTGTTCCTTGTCATTTTTCCACTATATACAAAACTAGATATTTTATTCATTTTTGTAATTGCTTTGTGAATCCTGTGTATTATAATGATTTTTATGGGTCCATTTCAAATCATATGTTCCTGCATAAACTTGTTAAAACTGAGAGTATTTCATTAATTATTGAACTGTAATATCACCAATGTAATCAGGCTTTCTGCCTGGTAAAATGTGAGAAAAAAAATTAAAAACAAGAAATGAAGAAAAAGATTCTCCTAAGAATTTCAATTTCAATATATTATTCACTGCTGTAGATACATTGTATTTCAATTTCCTTTCTTTCTTGCCACAGTATTATTTTAATAATAAATACAAATACATTGTAGTCAAATTTGTACCTTATGTAAAGAAATCATATTTTATGAATTTAAAAACATATGCAGTATTTCAGTTGTTTCTTTTGAAGCAAGTGACACCCTTCCCTAACAATAAAAAAATGTACATGATTATTTTTCTAATTTATTAAGGATTGCCAGTAATATATACATATAGTCATAGTAATTATATTAATATGCCTTCACTGATGATGTAACAAATTTCTAGAAAAACATAAAAACTGAAAATTGCAGTACAATCTGTCTAATCCAGAATCGATTCGGGACACAAAAAAATCCAGTTTATGGAGGTTGCCTATTTTATGACACTTTATGATATTGATGTTTCTGCCCTGAAAATAGTAAATTAGAAAACTTTATTAGAATTATCCAAACACATTAAAGTATTTATGGAAGAAATCATCATTAAATGAATATTAATCACTTTTCTCTGTCAGCTTCTGAGTTGAAAAATGCACATCTTACTGGCTGTCTTCAAACAGCTTGTTGACTCTTTTAATGCATAATGCGTCACAACCCAGTACTAGAACTTTCTGATACCCTTGCATGGTCTTGGGCTATGCGTGTCTGGTCAAGGGATTATAATTTTCTACACAGGGCAGGGAGGTGCATGAATAGAAGCCATACCCATGCCCCTTCCCACACTCACAGTTAGGAGAGAGAGATTTCCTCTATGGCCTTCCACTTGAGAGATAGGTGGCCCCAAGGTCAAATTCTACACTTGCAACTAAAGCCCCCCTCCTTCAATATCTGGGAGCTACGACTATTGCGTGACACAGGAATAGTGAATTTAAAAGGAGCTTGCAGATGCACTTATTTCAATAAAAAAAACTCGTGACTCTCTGCCATTTACATTTAATTCATAGGCATTCTATTTTTTAAAGATTATTCCCCCTGCAGGACATGAAAAACCATTTTCTTTCCATGTTGGAGAGGTTCCACTTTATGGGCTGGAGATATTTTCTGGTTAAGGCAGGTTTCCGGCTTGTATAGAATCCAGTTTAGACAGACTTTACTGTATCAGAGAAATTATAGCATGGAAAATATATAGAAAATAGATCGACACATAAGAAAATAAGCACATAATGTAACACTACATCTGGGCAGAGGAAGGAAATACAACTGTATTGATGTAATTGAGATTACATTTCTTTCTACATGAAGCAAATATAATTCAGAGAGAAAAAGTGATGTCCCTTTTAAAATACAATGCTCATTTATCTAGTTTTATTTATGCAGATACCATCATTTGTAGATTGTCAGTAATAATAATGAGATTTACTCAACTTATACAAAATTACAGTAAATTATTAATTTTATGATGTGACTTTTAATTCAAAATTATTTTTTTATTGTTTTATTCTTCTCAAGCCTTACTTGGATTTCACAGACTAGTGGCATAGTCACAGATTAGTGGCTCCCCCACTTAAACAGAAATTTATCTTACAAAAATAGTCCACAAATATTTCTATTCAAAATAAAATGTGTTTATTAAATGTGTTAAAATTGACTTTGAATTGTAAAACTGCAAAAATACTTACTGAATCATAATTTTATTTTGAATGTGTAATTGTATTGCGTTTTTATGGATGGATAAGCTACAATAGGAGGATTATTGATTAGTGATCATTAAAATAAACTCCTTCAGATTCTGAATAAAACATTCAAATTACCATATGAAATATTCAACATCAATTAAATTTACCACCCCCAACTTTGCCATTACCACAAACTGCTAAATTTAAGGTTGAGTAAAATGGAAAACAAATTCACATCATTGTTGGAAAATATTTCTGAACACACCGCATGTGCTCTCTGTCTCATTTAAATAAATAAAGTGACAGTTAACAACAACAAAGGTTTAGTTAAATTAAAATCCTTGCATTTGAAATAAATAAGCTCACATAATCTGAAGTGAATAAAGTCACAGCCTTTGGGGCTACTACAGTGACCTCTAACTCTTGGTGATTAACCTTTCAGGACAAGCATTGAGTTGTGTGTTGTTTAATGTTAGAAGTTGCATGGGAGAGCTTGGCATCTCCTATGAATTAATTTTTTTAAAGTTGTTTTTTGTCAGTTTATAAGTTTTTTATCAATTACAGCTATGTCATAATATTCATGTTTTCTGACAGATGGAATGCCCAAACTCTTGTCTCCCCCTTGCCTCTGTCCCATGCCATTTTCTTTGCATTCTTGTAGTTTGATAGCTTTGCTTCATCCATCAACTCCACCTTCTTTCTCCATATTTTTATTTGCCTTCCTTTTGAATTTCATTTTCATAGAGTTCTTTCCTCACCTATCCCTTACAGCACATGTTCCTTTTTCACTTTGACCATTTCCTTTTCTTTACCTTCAACTACATAAGTCATAACATGTTGTCCTGGCAACAAAATGCTTCATTCTTTAGTGCATCAGAAATTTAACATAAGGATGATAATTTTATTTCACTGTTAATGAAGTTTGTCATTTTCTTCTTGACAACAATACCAATAAAACATTATCTCACTTTCTTTTACATAGTGGTGACTGATAAAATAATGAATGGCTCTACCTCAAAGTCTAAACTTTCTCACTCACTCATGAATAAAATCTTACTGTACTCTTTATTTCTATAAATTACTTTTATTCTTTATAATATGTAAAATAAATATTGAATTGATATAACCTTCCATACAATTTGCCTATCACAAATGAAAATTATATTTATTTAAATAATGATGTAAATGCATTTGTTATCATTTGTTTGATGTAATTCTAAAAGATATACATATAATAACAATTGTACTTCAGCTTCTGTGTCAATATTCCTCATCTTCATCAAGTTTCTGTCCAGTTTCCCTTGATCCATTGAGCAAATTCTGAGATAGCCCCTTGTTTTGCTTCTGGACAAAAACATAGCTTCACTATGTGCATGTGTTTTCTGAGGAGTGATAGTGATGAATTTAGTTATTTCATCTTCATAAAAAAGTCTTTCTCCATTCTCCATGGTAATGAATTTTATTACATGGGGTAAGAGATAAGAGGCAAGATCTGTTACTCACTTACCGATGAAAATTGTTCTATTTCATGGGAGTGAATATTTCTTGCTAATACATTTTGACAAAAATACTCATTACCATCTTTATTCATAATTTAACTTAAGATAGTAAAAGTTGTGAATAGGATTGTGGAGCTCTAGGAAATGTGCGTAGATTTCTATTCTCCTCTAGAGGCAACTACAGTTCTATCCTTTCTTTAATATTAAATATATAAATAATTTCAATTATTTCAATTTCTATATCTAAATACCAATCATATGTTTCTCTTAATGTAATTCATATAATAGATAAAAGAAGAAAAACATTAGTACAAAATTGTATTAACCTTTGCTTTTAATGACCTCTTTCAGTTTGCCATTTTCAGGAACTTCATATTTACATTAAAAAGAAAAATTCAATATTGCATTGTTTTATGGCTGCATAGCAATTTCAAAGTTCTCTGTCAACAACCACACATTTTATTTCATGTCCTTTAACGGACACAGTACATTTTCCTTTGTAGGAAGGGATGTTAAAGTTTTGTAGATTGGTATTGAGTATTTTAAAAGAGAAGAATTTTATTTGTTAGTAAATAGAAAATGTCTGGTGATTTGAACATACCATGTGCAACTTCTCAAACCTGTAACATCAAAATGGATCAAGGGATAGAAAAAAATATTAAAACAGAAAATTGTAAGTGTGCTTTTTGATAAAGGAGAATGATTTGAGAAATGGAGTGGAATGACTTGAGAAAAGTTTCTCCAATGTGAAGTGTACGTAGGATACTTCCAAGGGGGCAAGACAAATAGTTTTACTTCACCTTTTTGACAAAAGAAAACTTTTTCAAAAGGACTTACAATTCTTTAGTGATGTACCAGGACTTTTTGTTGAATTAGAAACTAGTCAGAAAATTAAATCATTCAGCTTAAAAAAAGTTGAAGAACAAGTCTCTAAAAGGGAATATTAGTGCTACGCCTTGAATACTAATTCAACTTCTTTTTTATTATCATCTAGTGCCCCTAGGTTTGAAGCACATGATGGATGAAAGAAAGTTTATGATTAAAACTAAAGGAAATAGAAAAAAAGGAATTTTTTTTGGTAAAACTATTGATGTATACCAACAAAGTTTCCAAGGAAATGCCATAGCATTTTGTGGATAAACAGGATTCTGACACAAGAAACACACGTGATTAGTGTTCAGAAATCTTTATTACATATGAAAAGGAAAATCTGTTTACAGAAAAATTCAAAATTTAGTTGAAACATACAATTTGTTAACTACTTTTATACACAGTTTAGAATAAAGTAACTTCTTGTATTATGTAATGATTTCTCAGTGAATTAAAGAGCAGTTCATTTCAAATTTGATTTCCAAATTTGACCAACTGCTTATTCATAAATATTTAAACAAAATAGTGGACTAAAGATTTTGAGCACCTTATTTTAAAATAATATTAACTTCTGGGAAAATATGATCAGGTCTCTATGCAAAAGAAGAAATCAAACTATAAAAAATTTGGGACAAACAATGTAAGGACAACAGTAAAAAAGTTTCAATTCAAAAAAGCTCAATAGTAAGCAAGCACTTTCATCAACATCATAGAATTATAAAGCACCAAAATGTATAAACATAAGTAACACAAAAGCAACTCTTTCATTCTTCTCACCCATTAATGAAACAGTAGAATACAATCAATACGGAAAGAAAATTCTTCATTGGGTTTTGAAACATTTGTCTGACAATCTCATTTACACATTATTACTTTTATACACAAAGTGTATAATTAAAACATGAATTATTGTTGATTTATTACACAAAGGTTCTCATATGTATCCTAGCTGGAAAAGTAAATGAGAATGACATTTTGTATTTGCTTGAAATATTTCTTTACGGAAGAAAAAATGCATACGTTGAAATGCATTATTCATACTCCTATTGTAAATTAGATGTTTGACTTTCATCATCTGTAATTATGATTCATCTTTAGTTCAAAATTATTATACTGCCAAGTCATCCTCAGGCAAATTCTTGATGCACTTACCAAATACAAAATTGAAATGATTCTGAACACAGAAATTTGTATTTAGACTATACTCCTAAATTATATCTTAAAAAGACAATTGTACTTTCTTGCACTGCATTTTCATCTTTGATAACGCATTATTGGTAGCAGTAATGGAGGTGATGACAGAGGGAGACTCTGTCTCCGTTTATTAACTTGGATTGTATTAGCTACTATTGTTTTCATTGCAGGCATGGCGACAGGTACATTAAAGCTGCTTTGATAGGAACCAGATGTGCTGAATTCTGGGTTGCGTAGTGTGTGAACCGATTTCCTGCAAAATAAATTTATTATTATCCCTGTATCTGATAAAATGAAAGTAATTGAATTAAAAATAATCTCGTATTATAAAATATCACTAATGCTGATGTCACCTCAAGCAATATATTTTGTCAGTTTGTTGATCTGTCAATCAGCTTGACTTAATGTCATTTTATAAAAAATTGTGAAGATGTAAAATGTAAGATGAAGATTTCTAAGACGTGCTTGTATTCTGTGAATGATATTATTTTTGGTGTGATGTACCCTGTTGCAGACTAGTTTGCTACTAGCCTTTGTAAAGAAGAAATCTAGAGACTCATTCTTATAATTGTGACTAATATTTCTTAGAAAACTGAATTAAAAACCATCATCATTTACGGGTGAGGATCAGGTCTATGTGATTTGTTCCTTTCAATACAGTATTTGTTTAGTTACTCAGGTGTGTCTGATCTAGCCATCTTAGGACATTTCTGCGTTCTACATGTTATATATGTTTTACTAACTGTATATTTTTATTTTCTACTGTTTCAGCCATATTCCTAACTTTTAGGCTCCTCCATGTCCCAGTTTCTAAATTTGACTCTTCTCTACGTGATATCTCATCTTCTGATATTCTCTAATGATCTTAAATATCATACTTGAGCCACTTCCAATTTGTGACGATTTCTTTGTTTTACTTTCTAAAAACAGTTTCAGTTAGTAACAACCAATAATAAACATAAACTTGGATGATTAAAAAGGTAACTTACCTAATGGGTAGAGGTTTCACTCCTGGGTGAGATGTTAAAACACTTGTATTCTGTGATTTTCCCTGTCGCAGACTAGAATGTTGCCATTGGACATCACTGCTATTCCCTCCAGGCCCTTGAACTCCCCGTCTCCTGACCCCCAACATCCGAAAGCTCGAAGGAAGGTCCCGTCTGGATGGAAGATCTGTATTCGGTTGTTCCCCGAGTCGGCCACAAAGATGTAACCTTGATCGTCTACTGCCACTCCCCTGTGGATTACAATGGAGAATTTCAAGTATCAGTGATTACATATTTTAAAGATGATGAATTAGTAGTCAAATCCAGAACAATAGCACTTTGCACTCTGAAGTTCACTTCCTTAATGTATGTAATGAATTGTGGTTATTCTGTGTAATAATCTCTTCATGCAACTTATGCACATGTAATACAGCACATCATATTGTATAAATTTATTCAGTCTTTCATTGCACAAGGAGCCAGGCATGTATGTTATCACATAAGCCAAGCCATGCAGTGAGTCAGGCAGTTCCGTTGAAGCCTACCTCTGCTGCATTGACTGCTTTACTGGCAATTCTGGCCGCATGCGATCTGACCCGTCGGGCTCTGGGACTGAGAGATCGAGGAGGTTCACTAGCAGGAGATAGTGAGTGAGATACAGGAGATGTTGTAGGCTGTTTGAGAGATTTTGTGGAATTAGAAGGGGCTGACATCTTGAAAGATTTAGACCTAGAGAGTTTGACAGGAAGGCCAAGTGCACGATGTGATGATTTACTCTTCTTAATTTGCCTGCAAAGCACGCAAGCACTACAAGGTACAGTTCTGGAAGTTATCAGAACTAATAGTTAATTACTTTAATTCTATATTAGTGAAATTTGGCTCACAAAAACAGCATTGTGGTTGCTCACTTGAAGTTTCAGCATAACATTTAAGAAAATATGTACAGATTGTGTTACTTGCACTTGTCTAGAAGCTGTCTTAAATATCTTAATACAAATAATCTTATTGAACTATCTTGTTTAAAGAAGCTAATAAGTTGTAATGAAATGTTTTGAATGAGATGATTATAAATTAAAAATAATATGTACATATTACAAATATTTACAAAGATTGGGATCAAATCAGATTACCAAAAAAATTGACAATTAACTATGTTATCATCACAACTACTTTCGATTTTTTTTGTTCAGTTTAAAATTATTTTTATACAGGCAAATTCCACAAATGCTTCAGACTTGCAAAATGAATTCTCTTTACTTGAGATTTTATATGCTTAAATTCTGTCAAAGGGTGAACCTACTTTTATTGATTTCATTTTTCATGGTTGTAAATACCTGAATAGATATGGATTTGAAGAAATAATAGTCAGGACAAAAGGTTAATTACGACTGCGTCTGTATAAAAATGCAGTAAAATGCAGCTGAAAAAAACTATTAAGAATCTTGATTTTTTATTGATAATGGATCGTTTTTCAGTTTCAAAGCAACTGTTTCTTTGTGCAATGTCAATATATCCATCTATTTGGATAAAAGAAGAAAAATAGTTCTTGAATTTAGAACATTTTCAGAAATCAACCAACTTATACAACACGAGGGTACATAACAGTCCTAGCTCTAATAAAAATTTCATATATCAGAGTTCTTAAACAAATTTTACTTCTAATTTTACAAAATGTAAACTTCTTAAATTAATCCCTAGTAAATGAGGAATCATATTTTATAAGAACAAAGAAGGTTGGAAAGAAATACATAATAATAAATGGAAGTAGAGTATTTTGGGAGGTAGTCTACATGTTAATATACTTTTAACATTCACAAGAGATTTAATGTAATGTACAGAATTATTTTTCCATGAAATAATGTTCTACCGTGCAAATATACAAATTTTGACTCTTTAAGTAACAAGGAAATAAAGAAATAGAGACTAAATGTCAGTGATCAGGAAGTGATTTATGGTATTCTATTCTGGAAAGTGCATAATTGAATTGCTATAGTTGCTGGCTCAATTTAAAACATTTTTTGCAAAATAATTATTTTAAACTTTTAATAAAAGTAATAACATTAATCTACAGTTTATGCTGTCATATTTTAAAATTTGTTGTACCATGATAATGTATATTAGTTTTAAGATAAATCACATATTTGTATTATTTGGATTTTTTGAATTATAATGTGATATTCTCATAAAAGTATTCAAATATTGCTTTTTGTAGAACATCTTTAATAGAAAAAATAGATTATAGGCATAAGAAAAATACTTAATTATCGCTTTTCTTCTTTGAATATGTGTGGATTATTGTGGTAGGCAAAAAACAATCATTTGCAAAAGTGGTCAAACATGCAACAATCACTTTCAAACTCTTGGCCATGCTGAATATACATACAAAATAAGGCAAACAGTACCACGTTTAATGTTAAAGGATTATAAATCCATACCTTGGGAATTTGAATTGACCTTCATCTGAACCTTCTGTGCCAAAGGTGGTTAGTACTTTCCCATTGACATCAAAGATTTGCACACGATGATTATTGGAATCAGACACAATGACACGGTTTGTGTTGGAGACTGCAATGTAATGAGGATGCTCCAACTGGCCAGGCTTGCTGCCACAAGAGCCAAATTTTCCCACAAATGTGCCATCTGACTGGAATACCTGAAAGACAAGAATCAACTGTTAATTTTCAGTTCCAAATTGAAGGCAGAATTAAAAAAAAAAAAAATGAACAACAGAGAGAAAAAGATTTAGTTGCATTTGTTAGGAGATATGTCAAGAATAACTTTTCATGAGAGGAGAATTCAAGCCAAATGTTGTAGGTACTGCATTCTGCATTGAAACTGTAATAATTTAATTCTCTAATGACTACAAACACTGAACTGCATCAAAATGTTGCCTGTAACTGAGGATCTTGCTCTGGTGTCATTTATTGACAAGGGAAAATGCCTTGCTTAATGCATTCAAGCAGTCAAATTAATTTTTAAAAAGCATCCAAAAATGAGGACACTCAGTAACCCCAATATCAATCTTTCCTACTGCATTATAATAGACAAAGAACATTATAATTCCTATGAAATAATGAATTAGGTAATACATTTTCTGCTTGGCTGCGGCTTTATTTTTCAGTAATGGAGGTGGGAATTATTCCTATAAATGAATGTCCTGTGACTTTTGTGTTAATATTTAACTTAAAACATAGGAGTATCATGATAATTAAATGGAATTTGTCATGTTAAAACAAAAATATTCCACTGAAAGTATGTTAATTCTTACCTGAACCCGGTGGTTCTCTTTATCACAGACGTAGATGAAGCCCAAGGCATCTGTAGTGATGCCCCAGGGGTAATTAAATCTACCATCCGCAGTGCCTTGACTGCCAAAGGCTCTGAGGAAACGACCTGATGGGTCCATCACCTGCAAAAATAAATATAATAATGATGGAAATGTCAGGAAGCATATTCATTACACATATTCTTGTTGGTAGCAGTAATGGAGGGACACATTTATTTTTAAAAGTGGTTTTATTCACTCTTAAGCAATAATTCATGCGTGTATATCTTGGGAAAAAGTCTGAAGTAAGATCTAATTGGATCTGTGTCCTAACTGCTTCAAATGAGGGGGGATTAATGGATAAGCAGAATGAGAACATGTTTCAAGCCCTGGGTAGTGGTAAGGGACCTCCACTCCAGTAAGTTTTTAAACAAATTTTTTTAAGAGAATTCATAAATATGTAAAAATTTAACCATCTTCTTTATGGTATAAAAAATAATAAATTTAATTCAGAATAAAAAAGAGCACATTTAAAAAGCATTTTAGTTGTACTTACATGTGGGTCAAAATTATTTTAAATTATATTTCAAGATAACAATTAGGCTTCAAGTAATTCAGAGCCAATGGCTAAGAGGGGCAAGGCAAATGTGAGGCAAAGAGGGGCAAGGCAGGCAGAGATACAGCAAGTGGTCTAGAATTTGAGGGAAATGTAAATAAAATTAAGATCATTTTACACTAAAGACAGAATTCAAATCATTTCCTGTCTGATGGATAATTGTGATAAATAAATGCCTGGGCAATGCTAAGTTACATTCACAAATCAAACATGTAAAAAATGTTTACATATATTTTAAAGACAAAGGGAAACATTAATAAGGTATTTTCCAATAATTCTTCATAGTAATAATTAGGTATTTATGTGAAATGACAATCACAGATGAAGTTTTATGGGAATAAATTTAAAATCCAATATTATTCGTAATAAGGAAGTTGGACACTTCACTAAGGCAATTAATTCAAATAAAGAAAATATATTTTACTAAATTGAAGTGGTACATTCAACAATATCAAATTCAGGAAAAATGTACATGGATAATACAGAATAAACAAGCTTAAGATGGACGTTGAACATAGTTCCATACTATAAATACATTCATGAGAGGGAGTTCCACACTTGTTCACTCCCACCTCAGCGAGACGCCGTTTGCAGTCTCGTGTCAGAAAATCGAGTTTGAGAGTCTTATCACCTAAGCCACGATACGTGCTGTGAGCAGTGCTGGCGTAATAGGCAGAGGCGCTTTACTCATGGGTAGACCGGGTGATCGCCCGGGGCCCCACAAGTCAATGGGACTGTTGAGGGAAAATAAGTAAAAAATTGAAATAGAAATTAGAAATCGAGGGAATCGTTATCGTAATTTTATAAGTCTCGGTACAGTAGTCTAATATTTCACAAAATATTCAATTAATTTTTTTCCTTAAATGGCTAATTATAGTCATTACTAATAAGGTAGGACTCTATGAAATACATCCAATGGTGCTAATATTAAAATATGTTCTACTAAAATTCATATTTATTATTTCACGTAGAACAATAAGTGATTTTATTAAACGATTACAGAACATAAAATTTTTTAGAGTTGTAAGCTCACCGTGGATATTATATTATTTGATCATGAAATACTGTTACTTAAAACTATTATTTAAAATATATTTCCCAAAAATTTTTATAGCTTGAATGTTGTATATTTTTATTATTTCTTTAAATAAAATAACTCTTACAGTTTCATGAGATAACTTTCACATTTTTAATTTTTATGGGAGGGGGGGTGTCAGCATTGCCCCGGACCCAAAATTGTCTACCTTCGGTACTTGTGATACGTGACCAACGCAGTTTGCAGTGGTCGCGACTTGCAACTCTCGTTCCGACCAGGGCAAGGAAAACGGCATACATGTAGAATAGAGTTGGCGTTGCTGCTGCTCTGGTTTGCTAACATTTAGCATAAATTGATAGCATCGTTGACAAAATCTGATAACCAGAAATGTTTGCTCTCGTGTAATAAAAACTATTTTGCATCTAAAAACGAGACGAGTTACAATTTCGACACAATAGTTCTGTCGTCGAAATACCCCCTCTCCTCTCCTCTCACATCTAGCGGAATGGGCGTTCAACAAAACTTATTGCTCGCGCAAGTTTTCTTGATACACGGGCTTCCTAGTCCTCTCTCAGCGCTGAATAGCACGTCCCGTTGAGAGACTTTGGCTCGACTCGAAACGGTACGCACCAATTTACAACGCTATCAACGACCTTTCGTATCTTTAACAGAATCGTAGCACTTCTCGTGGTATGTATTGACGGGTTATGTCCATGCCTACAGTTAGTAACCCTTTTAAGCCATGACGCTCCAGAGCCCTCCTCTCTCCGCAGTCCCCGCTGTGGTATATCAAGAAAACTTGCGCACATAGTACGCGAGTAATAACGCTCGTGGCGGGTCCCCACCTGAATGCGGTGGTTGTAACGATCGGCGATGATGAACTGGCCGATGCGGTTGACCGCCACACCGGCCAGGCAGTCGAATTCGCCCTCGCCGTTGCCGTAGGTGCCGAACTCCTTGACGAAGATGCCGTTCGAGTCGAACACCTGCACGCGGTGGTTGGACGAGTCGGCCACCACGATCGAGTTGTCAGGCCCCACGGCTATGCCGCGAGGCCAAGTAAAACATCCGGGCTCGCTCCCCCGACTCCCCACCTTGAACTGCTGGCGGCGCTTCTGCAGGTACTGGCTCCTAGGGGAGGAACCTGCTGCTGCCACTGCGAAACCTGCGACACACACACGGGACCGTCAGCTCTTCCCTTGGCGAGCGATGTTCGAAGCCAGCTCCGAAGTTAGCATTGGAATAAAGAGGCACTTGCGCATGCGCAGCCTAAAATTCGAGGAGGGGCCAGCTATGTTGCTGATCCCCTCTGGACTCCTTTTCCATTACACCTTTTTAATTTACATATGACATTTTATTAGCACGACAAGGAGAATGGAATCAAGAATCGCTACTTTTTAATATCTGACATTTTCGAGAACCATTAATGAAATGAAATATAAATTTTGTATGGCGCTGCTAAAGAAAGAAGTCTGAATACTGAAATATTGATTTAGTGTATAGCAATTATTGTAATTAGCGTAATACGTATGATAATAATTGAAATTGTTCATTGTATTTCAAAGAAGTATTTTGCCATAAAGGAAAATTTAGTTTGAAACGTAATTAGTAATGAAGAAATTTAAAAAAATCGTTGCGTCGACCCTATATTGTGATAAGACAACCTGCTCTGTAGACGTGGCGACCGCTTTCGCGCTCACGCACCTGCTGCTGCTGCTGCTGCCGCCGCCGTAGCTGCTGTAGGGGAAGTGGGGGAGCCTGCCGGGTTTTTTTGATCGTCGTCGGAGCTCTCGACGCTGGCCGAGTTGTGGCGCAAGGGCAGGCCCAGGGAGAGGCGGCGCGCCGCGTTGGCCGACGCCGCCGCCGACCCGGCCGCCGAGCCCGAGGGCCCGTCCTTGCCGTCCTTGCCGCGGTTCCCGTACTTGTTCTTGAGGTAGCGCGCCCACGAGCTGAGCGCGGCGCCGTCCTTCTCGCCACCCGCGCCCGCGCCCGCCGCGCCCGCCCCGCGCTCCGGGGAGTTCTCTCGCGACTTGAGCGCGTGGGTGGAGCGCGAGCGGGACAGGTCGCTGGCGCCGCTGCCGCTACCGGCCCCGGCGCCCGTGGTGCCCGCGCTGCTGCTGCTGCCGGGCCCGTAGCGCGACGGGAGGTAGGACGACGGCATGGTGGAGGTGGGCGAGGACGGGCTGTCGTCCTGGTCGTCGTCGTCGCCGCCGCCGAAGTTGTGCGAGCTGCGGCTGCGCGCCAGACGCTGGCGCCTGTCCTTGAGCGCCGCGTAGCGCGAGCGCCCGCTCGGGTAGCGGCTGGAGTCGTCGGCGTCCGCCGCCGTGGTCGCGCTGGACGTGGAGCGCGCCGACCCGTACTTGGGCCGGTCCGAGTCCTCCTCCGGGGACAGGGCCGCCGAGCTCTTGGACTTGTTGAGGAAGCGGCTGGTGTAGCCGCTGCTGCCGTAGCGGCTGCTGGGCTCTTCTTCCTGCTGGGTGGTGCGGGTGCGCCCGCTCAGGTACTTGCTGGCGGGCGAGGTGTCCTCCTTGGCGGCGCCGTAGCGCGACTGGTAGCCCGTGGAGCGGGTGGGGCTGCTGTCGGAGGTCTGGCCGTAGCGCTTGGGGGTGTAGCCGGTGGAGGTGTCGTCTCGGCTGTCGCGGCGCCGGGCCTCGGTGGTGTCGCGCGCGTTCTGGCTGCGCGCCAGCAGCGGCCCGATGTCGGTCTTCTCCATGGTGGGCGGGTCCGGCTTCTTCTTGCTGGCGTCGTCCGACTCTTCCTCCGACTCCGTCTCCTCCGACTCGGAGCTGCTCTCCGACTCGGACTCCTCGTCGTCGTCCTTGGGCTTCTCGGTGGAGGCCGCGGTGCGGTTGGCGCCCAGGAAGCGGCTCTGGAAGGGCTTGGCGGCCGCGGTGGTGGCGGTGGTGGTGGTGGAGGCGGAGTCGTTGGCGCGGCTGCGCGGGGTGGAGGTGGCGCTGGAGGCGGCGGTGGCCGCGGTGCGCGACGACGACGCGCCCGACGACTCGGAGGACGTGGTGGAGTCGGAGCTGCCCGAGCGGGCGGCCTTCTTGTGCGCCGCCGCCGACGCCGGCGTCGCGTCCGACGCCGTCGACGAGCGACGAGACCCCTTGGTGCCCGTGGTGGACGTCTTGCGCTGGCCCAGCGCCGACACCGGGGACCCGTCGTCCGACTCGGCGTCGCTCGATCCCCCCTGCGGAAGGCAACGCGCCACCTCAGCCCGGGCCTCGCCCCCGCCGCCGCCGCTGCTGGACTCTGCCACTCCCATGCCGGCGGAACCACACTTAAGAGACCCTCCCGCACGCCTCCCCAGAGAAGTTTTACTGAACCACATTTCGACGTGCGAATGAGTCGAGTAGGTACTGTCGGTCGAGCACGGTCTTGCCTCGCAAACCGGAGATTTCAACGCCCGTCACAAGTGTCCGCTTTGTTCGTATTTGTATTTCCTTACGTCTGGAGCGGGCCTCGAGTCATGGTGTGGTTGTTGGTGGTGAAGACAGTCTTGTGCGTCGTTTGGGTGGAGGCCGCCGCGCGCCAAGTGTCCTCAGATGCCGCACGTGCGGTCGGCAAGTGTCGAGTCGAATGTAGAAGAAGCCGGGAGGAGAGATGTAGGACGACATGCAAGCTCCTTCCTCGGCAAGCCAAGGGCCTGGGAGAAGCGGTTGAGAGCGGAACAACGCAGGACAAGCGGATACTTTTGCACTCTTCTCTTCGTTTCAGGCACTCTTCAACAACATTATTCCCAAATGAGATGGATTTTGCAGTTTCACCCATTCAGAAGCACTGTGTTTCTTTCGTTTGCTGAAGGCAAGCATTTACATCGTCTTTCACACGAGACTTTTGCAAGGAATAGTGACGTAACTGCTTTTTTAGAGTTAGTGTATTAATTTTTCAGTAACAAATTTTGTTAAAATTGATGAAAAGAACACAGAGCGTGGAATTAGACTACGAAAAAGTTAAAAGGAAATGATTCTTTGAAAAAAAAGTTCAAAAAATATTCCATCTATTGACTAGCTTCCGTCATTTGGGAATATGAGTGTCGTGTGTGTGCTAGAAAAAAATGACAAAAATAGGATGGAGGGAGCGGGGAGTTAGCAGAGTGAGATGTTGCGTCTTGTTCGTTTCAGTGTTCTAGAATTAATATGTACATGTCATTAATAAAACAATCCCTTTTTAATACTGTTATTTCCAAGTGTGTCAGGTACTGTAGTTAAGAGGGTGGTAGTGACGAAGTGAACCCAGTGCACCGTATACTACAGCGAGCGAATGCCGCCCAATTACTACAATGTGGCATGCGAGAGAGGTCCAGCAGCTACGACTCTATTCTAGCACCCGAGTGAGACAGAGCAGAAGGAGGGAGTTAATGAAGCCCACAACAGCTCCACACATGGTGACGTTCATACGCTCGTATTTTTCACTTGCACTTTCACTCCGCTGTTTTTTTGGTATACCACTCGGCAGCTCGCGAATATCTGAACGGAATTATTTGAGGGAGAGATTTTGCGTTTCGTGCTTTGCCTATCCGAAAAAAAGTGTTTAACAATTTCAATGAGAATTTTTCTGAAACACTATGCAAAGTAACCGAGAGTCACTTAATTGTAACCACATTGTCTCTACACCTCTTAGTAGTATAAAATATCAGGTTTATCAGACGTACGCTGCTTTTAGCTTCGTCTGAAATTGTATGTAGCTCAGTAACTAAGACTCTATAGCATCAAGAGCAAATGATGCAGTTGTATGTTTATGTTATATTTCAAACGTCATTAATCTCAGCGATATTTAATTTAATTAAGCAATTAATATTTATCTCTAATTCATAGTGCATTCTATAATTTATTTGTTACCGTAAGATTCGTGTGCTAATCTAGCATAACTTAAGTATTTTTTCGAATAGCTTTCTTCTAAAAATATAATTTTCTTTCTCATTTGTTCTCTTGGTCAAACTGTAAAACGGTAGCAAATAAAAAGAGATGTACTACAGTAGTATTAAAGAATACAAGCGTTTATCATCACAACCGGTCAGTAAAAACAAGAACAAATAATCACTTAACACGAGATTTCTAACACCGTGGACGACTCGGTCGCTCATAGATTTGTAATCTCAGAGCCGCCGAACTGATATATGATAATCAAACATTGATTCAGAGATAGCTAACAAAAGGGGAGGGACAGTTCGCAAAACAGAACAAAACAAAAAGGGGAAATAAAAAATCCCGCTTAGAATCCAATTTTTGTACCCAGCATCAAAATGTCTCCTCCCTCTACCTACATAATCCGTAATTTAGAGTTTACGAAACAAACAGGAAGACTAGTGGATATCCAGAGAGGCCCCAGCTCCAGCTACTCCCCCCGCACGACCCAACAATTGCCAGGCGGGCGAATCGCCAGGCGGGCTGCCGAGAGAGAGCGCGCGTGAAGTGCGAGGCAAGCGGTGCGGTGGGCGGGGCCCGCAGGCGCTAGCCGCTGTCGCTGGCGTCGGTGTCTACCTCCGGCGCGGGCGGCGTGCGGCGCGTGGGGGAGGAGGGCTGGCTGTCGCGCTCCTCGGCCGAGTCGCCGCTGCCGCCGCTGGACGCCGTGCGGCCCTGCTTCAGCGCCGCCACCCGCTCCGCCTGCGGGCAGCGAACCCTCGGATTCGTCATTTATTTATTTTTATTTACTCATTTTTAATTAATTAATTAATTAATTAATTTATTTATTATTTATTTATTTATTTATTTATTTATTTATTTATTTATTTATTTATTGATTGATTGATTGATTGATTGATATGAAAACTGGATCTTACTACAAAAATCTAAAAGATGAAATGTATGGTAGTAGGTGACAAAGGGTGTGGGAACCTTGACATAGAAACTGACAAGATCAAACAATGCACATAGGGCAGTTACGTTTGAGTATCTCATTCCTCAAATTGTAGAAATGCTGGCGATAAGTATCTCTAATAAGATAGAACAAGAAAGAAAGCGATCCGATAATTAAACTCTACATTGGAGAACAAAAAACACAAGAAAAAGACGAAACGCATTCTTTATAAAACAGTAGTAGAGTATGTATTTAAGAAGCAGAAATGTGAAAATGAAGAAAAAGAGAGCTGGGCTGACGTTCCTTGAAAACGACTATTGGAGAAGTAGCTACGGAGACGTAGAAAAGGAGACTTGTCAGACCGAAAATATTGGAAGTTGAGAAGAAGAAACGGTATCTACCGTAAATTAGGCTAAAGTTATTAAGGCCCCTGAGTGATGTTGTGATACATGATAGCATGTAAATGATGTAATAAGAGGCAGCAGAAACAGGGGAATTCGTGCCGAGAGCTCGCTTTGCCCATCACTAATTCCACATTGTTGGGTTGATTTCTCTAACCAACACGCCTCGTGCCTCTGAATGGTGTTGATTAACCGATGATGTATTTGGTGTGATTTGAATGTTGAAGGAACAGCATTAGTGGGGTGTGGTGCAGGGAAAAGGGGAAAACACCAAGGACACCTGCTATGAACCCGCTTTCTTCGTCACGAACTCCACACGGATCGACTGGGATTGGAAGCCCGGTGACCAGAAGTGGAAGGTGCATGGTCTGATTACTGCACCTCGGGTCACACATGATTAAACTGGGCCAAAAGGGATTGAGGATTGGGTTGTGTTGCCTGGTTTTCGCCAACCGAAGGTTGTGCAATGAGTGCCAACACTTGAATCTCTTCGTGTAAAGCAGATCGCTTAAGAGGACCCCATACACCTCTGACGTGACAGTTTCTATTACTTTCTACTCGTCCGGTGAAACAGAGCGTCTGTGGCCACAACTTGGCGGCTGAATGTCACGATCGGTTCCGGTTTAATTCGAAAGACGTGTTTGTGGTTCGTGGTTACTCAAATTCTGAAGCGCGTTACCCTATTCCGAGTGCAGTTCGCTACTAAACAGGTCCACTCAAAAGCAACCTTCGCCCAAGCAAAGGCGAGCAACGGATCGATCAAGTGGAGGAAAAGTCAGAGATCGTAAGGCGTTGAAAACCCGAAACGGAAAATCTGTGTGTCAGTGGGGGACTTTTGAATGCGATTAAACTCGATTCACACAAACAAGTACGAGTGAAACTGTCACGTATGCCAGCGTGTATGAGCCGATTGAGATCTCTTAGGATTATCGTAAACAGGACGGTCTGGACAATGCTACTTGGTAATCCTAATGTCTTACCCTCTCCACCAGTCGAATCACGTCATCCTAAGTAACAGCTAATATTCAAATTTGCTCAATATGAGAATAACAGTTTGAAAACCGAAACTGCCACTCGGTTCATGTGGCACTGTGTTTCAGTTGTCCCTGTGAGGCTGCGTGGCGCGACCCGACGAATGGTGGGCGACGAATGAGATATCAGATCCTTCACATGACGAAGATCCCATGACACAGCTATACATGTGAAGAGCATGCAGGTGATTTTCAAGGAGTGGCGGTCATTGGTTTGTAAATCAGAAGCGACGGCGTGTGTTTCCGAAAAATCGTATACATTATGTTTCTTCAAAATTGTTTTTGAACGAGAGTAGCTGTGTAGTGTCGATTAACGGGATTAAAATCCATGACTAACTCAACTTTTATGACGATAACAAGTGATATTATTGAACTCACAAGAAGAGTGTTTTTTGAAGAATATTTGCATTAAAACAGATATTTATGAGTTGTAAGGGTCGATGTTTTTAGCTTAGTTATAGGCGCGGACTCAGCCCTACAAAACCCTTCTAGCAATAATACACTGCCTGCACCCAAATCTCAGTTTCGCCTCTCCACATGCTTCCATTGCTGTGCATGCACGGTGAAGGGAGAGTCCGCTAAGTGGTCCATTATGAAAACATTGATCATTCGCTTATGAAATTTCGGGTTCGTCCTCAAACGAGCTCCGATGGAATGTAAAAATTAGGCGAATAGATTTCATGAAAGAGTAAAAATTTCTGCATACTTTTCCCTGTTTTTTGTTTTGGAAGAGCGGCCGCCACTGCTTTCAATTAACTCTAATCGTAACCCTAAAATACCTATGACATTACCTATGACCTACCCTACTATACCTATGAAATTAATATACACTAACATATTTTATGATTGACATACGTACTGTATGTCCCAATTTTAATGTAATGAGGAATATTATTATGACATTATATTTTCCAGAAAAATATTTAAGAAAGCTTCCATTATATAGGATAAGATCACCAGTAGTGGCCATAATTAAAAACATTCTTAAAAATATTGGGCTATTAATTCGTTATGGGACACTCAATGAAGGATTAGCATTCCTCTTTCTAAATAGATCCTTTCTCTAAATATAGTCAATTTTCAGTTTGTTGAATAGTTGAGTAATGTATTAAGCCTAAGCTTGAACTGGCTATAGAAGGCAGAAGCTCCTTGTTCCTCAAATTTGAAGGGGGATGCTTGCTTTTCAAATTGTGTGCTAGACTGCTGAGCCTGGAGTGACCCCTACTGTGTCGACTATGTACGAGTGAGGGGGGGGGGGAGGCTACTGCGGGCGTGAGGGGTGGCGGGCCGGTCGGCCGCCGGTCGCTGGAGCTGGCCGCGCCTTGTTCTGCTTCTTGATGCGCGCGATCCGTCGTCCTCGCTGACCTGTCGGGCGGCGGGCGCCGCTTGGCGGCCGCCTGGCCGCGGGCGCCTTGGGGGCGGGCCCGGGCGCGGGCGCGGGCGCCGCGGGGCGTGTCCTTCTTTTGCCGGTTCTCGATCCTGCAGCCGCTTCATGACGCGCGGCGAGTCGTAGGAGCGGCGTGGATGCCCGACAGCGGGCCGCGCGACACGTCCTCGGTGTCGAGCACGCGCTCGCGCTCCTTGTGGTGGCGCGTCCGCGTCGCCCGAGAAGCGCACGGAGCGCCGGTCTGCGCGTCGGGTCCGAGTCGCCGTTGCCTCCGCCCAGGTGCGCGAGTGAAGCGCGAGCGGTAGCGGCCCGCGCGCCCGCCCTCGTTGTCTACGGGACTCGAAACTCCCCGCGGTAGTCGTCGGCCGCGTCGCCACCGCCGCCGCCTCTGCCGTACCTGCCGAGGAGGAATCGTAGCGGTCGGCGGGGCTGGCGGGGGCCGCGGCGCCGAAGCGCCGCCGCCAGCGGGGAGAGCGGCCGGCCGCGGGCCGCCGCGTCCGTGTCGCCAAGCAGGCGTCGGTCGCGCCGGCTGCGCCTCCTCTTCCTGCTGGCGGAACTGCGACGCCAGGCGGTGGTCGCTCTTGGAGCGCATCAGGCCCGGCCCGCCGCCCGGCGGCGCCAGCAGCCCGCCCGTGCTCGCGCTGCCCACCACGCCGCCGCCCGGCCCCACGCCGTGCTGGTGCGGCATGTTGATGGTGAGCTCGCCGTAGCCCGCCACGTGCAGCACCAGCTGGTTGGGGTCGTGCGCCATGGTGAAGCGCACGCGGCGCGCGTAGTCCGCGTTCTCGTACTCGAAGTTCCGGATGAACTCCACCGTCTTGAGGAAGATCTCCTTGGCGTCCATCAGCTCGCAATCGTCCCACTCCACGTTCTCCGTCATGTGCTTGTCGGCCAGGTCGCAGTTGCTCTGGATGTTGGAGATCTCCTGCTCGAGGTTCTCCTTGAGCGTGCATAGGTTGCGTTGCTCCACCGACAGGTAGCGGTCGATCTCACCGCGCAGATATTCCGTGCGGTCCTTGAGCGCCTTGTTGAGGCGGCGGTAGATCTCGTCCACCTCCTCGGACACGGCGCTGCAGTTCTGCAGCAGGCTGCACTGGTTCTTCTCGACGAGCGCCAGCGCGTCCTGCAGGCGGTGCAGCGCGCGGCGGATCTGGTTGTTGATGCGGGAGATCTCGCGCCGCAGGATGTCCATGTGCGCGCCTTTGCAGTCGCCGCAGATCTTCTTGTCGCAGTGCACGCAGGCCGAGCAGTAGGCCTTCTCGGAGCACACGTTGCAGCGCTCCATGATCTGCCCGCTGGTGGGGTCGGGCAGCTCGCCGGTGATCTCGATGTGCAGCTCGAGGAAGCGCTGCAGGGTGACATTGGTGGGGTAGCCCTGCACCCCCTGGTAGGGGATGCGGTGCTCTGCTCTGCATTCGGGGCATTTTACCTGCGGGCAAGGCAGCGCGGGCGAACGTCACTCTCGCGTCGCCCCAGCGGACCTCAGTCGGCCGGCGGCAATGGCATTACTTACTCCAGCCCGCTTCACTTGCTTTCAGTAGGCGAGCGTTGTTGGAGACTCTCTCGTAATGCCATTGCGAGCGACCGCGTGAGGAACGCTTCCCTGTTAATGCTACGCGCGTCAAGCGTCTTTTTCCGTTCAACCAGTGAGTGTGCCGGAGACTATTACTCTAATCTGTTACAAGCGGGAACTCATGGTACTTCAGTTCCCTTCAGAAACCAGTGATTCATATTGAAAAATATAGCTTTTACTAATTTTCTACACTAACTAAACTCATCCAGTATATAATTTCTTAACGTTATAAATATTAACATTCCGACAAATGTAAATACATTTTACATTCAGTATATATGAAAAACTTTTTACAAGAAAACATCAAGTCGACTGGACATTATACCTGAACTGTCCCCGGAGCAAATTCCTGCGTGCGACTCTGGTTATAATTACTCTGTCATACTGCACTTTTTCAGAGAGAAAAGAAAAGAAAAAATATTTAATCAATGCCAATATATTTGAATTTTAAAAAAATTATGAAGAGTAATAATCTGGTTCAAAATTTATGATTTGTAATAATTTAATTCAAATGTTAAAGGTAGAATAATATTCTCCGTTTAGAAACATTATGCACTTGTGAATACTACAGTAATACTCTAGGAACATGATGTAAAAACATCGCAAAAAGACATAAATTTGTAAAATATAAAATAAAATATATATAAAACAGAAAAGGTCATATATTTATCCGCTTTGCTACTTACCAGAAACAATTGGAACAAAAAATAAACTCCTGAAGATATCTTTAAAATTATTACAAAATACATTTCAAAAAATAAACAAAACTTGTAAAAATGTTGCCAAATATTACACTGACGTACTCTAGATTTTCAAAACATGTACAAAAAATCAACTTTGTAGTTTTACAATATTTGAACAAATACTTTTGTCTCGTGTATGTATTTTTTTCAGTTTGGTACTCTTCTTTAAATGTTTCTCATCAATAGTACAGTATATGCATCGTCGAGAAAAAATAAAGCTTGCAGAAAGGGTTAAATAAATCAATACATACATCGATAAATAACTTTAAAAAGGTAAAACTGAATCATGGTCAATGGTTATTCTGTTTTTCTAATATAACGTTATTAGACGTTCTTATCTACCGAACAGGCATAAATATTGTCTGCAGTGGGTGATCACCTGTCTCCGGACGTAGTCTACCAGCCCGTCCATACAGGGCTCCATGCAAAATGAGTGCTGACATGGTAGTAGTTTTGGGTTACGGTATCGGTCCAAACATATGGCGCAGGTCAGCAACTGTTCAAACTGCTCCATGGTGGCGCCTCCTCACTGCCTGCAACATAAGAACATCGCCAAATCAGCTTACTCACTTCTTCGCGTATAAATAGATATAAAAACAATATTATTGACGTGCCTCACAAACTGAAGGTAGAGACTGAATTGATCGTAGTAAGAAAAATTTAATCAAGAGTGGTCCTAAACACCAGTCACACGCCACTTACATATTTTGTCAAATATTAGAACTAGATCATCTTTATATCCCTGCTTATCCAAATTAGTGCGTTTTAATCTGAGGCTTTTACCAATAAAATCAGTCGAGATTAAAGAGATAAGAGGGGTATAAGAAAAAATCCTTTAGCACATGGGAAAATGCCACTGTAGATTTGAGCTTATTATTTTTTAAAAAATCATAATTTTTAGCTTCAATTGATCATTCAATATTTTATTTTAGGTACTACTAATAGAACTGCAATTCAAAATTCGCAAATAGCAATGGGTAACGAACACAACACTAATGCTAGAGCTCTAATACTTAGTTCTCAGGTTCCTCAATTTTGTATAATGTGCAAAGTAAATCGCACGTACCATTTGTGTATGTGTGAGAGTAAGAGGGAGAGAAAGCGAGTGTATAGCACCCAGGAAGGAAGAGTATCCAAACATCCAAGACAAGTCCAGGAACATAATACCATCCTCCCAGCTCTCAGTTCTTCCTCTACAACTCAAAATTTCAAAGTCAACCAACACCGAGGGACGTGAGACCGACGTATCTATTTCAAGGATGCGTCAACAGCCGTACATTTCCAAAGGTCGTCGCTCGTTGAGCGCATGACGCCGCTCGTAACGAGACTCAGAACGCGGAAGAGCGGGAGTGCGAAGACCAGCGCTCGCACGTCGGCCCTGGGCACTGCACGCCAAGGTGACGGCGGCGTTTGTTTCCGTTGGCACCTCCCGCGTCTAAATATATTGACGCGCGCGCGCGCGCGTCTCCACCGTCACCATCATCATCATCATCATCATCATCATCATCATCATCAACATCTTAAAGGCAAAAAGCTTTGTCGCTGCCGCCGTGACATTCTGCCTTCCGCTGTTATCTTCAACTCCGTTTAGTTGGTATGTCTCTTCCATTGCGCGTTTTTATTTTTGCTTCTTATTTGCCGTGGTAGGCTCCTAGAACCTCCGGGTGCCGCAAGCCCAATCCCTCGCCCTGTCCACTGGTTCCTCCCGCTGGCCGAGCGGGCAGGTCAAACAAACGAAGCAGCTGGGTCGCGCGCGCACGCCGGCCGCGGGCCAATAAACGCGCTCGTAAAGCACAGAGCAGACAGAGGAAGCGCGCGAGCGTAAATCTAGAAATTTCTCGGCGCCGCGTCCGCCCCCTCCCCACCTCGCCCCGATCCAACCTCGGACCGCCTCGCTCGTCAGCGGGACCTTGTTCAGTGCGGTCCGCGGCTGGTTTGCGAGGGCTATCACGTTACGGGAAATGCGTTTGAAATGTTGTCGGTGTACGACAAAAGTGATGCATCTCCAATATCAGCGTTTATGAGTTTAGTAAAGGAATATCTATATTGTAAATACGGTAAAGTGCCGATCTGAAGTTTACGAAACCGCTGGATGTCATTTGCATCATGATTAACATTTGACCAAGATATAATTTGAAAACTGCGAATTCACTATTATAGCCATTTTAATTAGTTTTTTGTAATCCCACCGTCCTAAAAATATTTATAAATAAATATGTGTAACAAAAATTCAACCAACGATCATGTGTTACGCAACACATGAGTTTGAGAGACTGCTAAAAATAAACAGCTGACTTCGTGAACAACTATATTGCCTTTTCATTTCTGTTCTTCAGAATATTGATTGATGCTTTCGGATATGTCAGTTGCTATGATCATTAGCCCCGTAATTGTAGTGCAAGTGTAATCGCGGGTGGTGGCGGTGTTCCTCCCCCTTTGGGTGGCGAGATCCAATCAGATAGCGCTGAATTCGATCTACCTAAACAGCCAGTGTCAAAAAACCGCAACCTTGAAGAGTATGAAAAATTCATGGAGAATAATGGAGCTTTGTGATTAGGTGATCTACGATTTTAGAAATATATTGAACTCCATGCTAATTGATATTACATAGTTCATCTTAGTGACGTATTGTATTTATATTCTATCAGGACATGTGCCGGTGTTTCTGACCTCTGGGCTCATCTATCTCAAGTCAAATTAAATGCTTCCACAACAGTTGTTGTAGAATGAAGTTTTAATTTTACAAAAACATGAGTAGGATACTCACTTAAGATATTTTTGAGTAACATCCCTCAAAATAGTTCATAAACACTTCAGCAAGTTTAAATAACAAACGTTATAACCTCTCACATTGTATTAATGGTATGATTCATACTTTGTAAATAAGTTTTAACTTTAAAACGGTAAAACAAACTTTTATGATTTAAAATGGGTTCTCGGTAGACTATTTTCAATTCAAAGTGTTAAATTCATTTATTAACAGTCAATAAAATGTCGATTCTTGTATCTTACTACTGTTGTCCATATATTTTCATCTACTCCTTATGATACTTTTTTAAATTACTTATTCATGCGCTCTCCTGTTGCCGATTTTTAATAAAGAGATGTAGAGCATTGTATGAATTTTTAAATTAAATTTTATTTCAAAAAAATGAAATGAAAAAGTATCTCGTACGACGATAAAGGAATTAACTTCTTGAGAAAAAATACATTGTTAAATCCTTTGTGAAATAACAATTTTCTCTCGAAGAAAAATAATTTCTTTATCGTTAAATAATTAATTTTAAATAATTTACGCTTTGTTTTTGAAAAAGGCTTTGGTTACGTCTCTTCCGATCTGACTAATGTACTTTTTAAAACCATCAATGCAATTAATTTGAAGATAAAGAAATAAAACTTGATCAAATTCGTGATAATACTCAACTCATTCATTACATAATATTCACTACATTCCAATAAATATACTTTTAATCTTAAAAGAATTGTACAATATTTTTCGTTTTGGGAACTAGCTTATTTCTTAAAGGCTCTATGCTTTACGTTAACCAAAAGAAGTCCCTTGTATCCGTCCGCGTAGACCCAGGTGCGGGCCCGTCTGTCATTCCACGATCGCCTTTATAAGTTTCAACATCTGAACGGTGTGGGTTTGTGTCACTGGGAGGCAGTACTCAGTATATGTGAGTTCTGGGTGAGTACTCTTAGACATTTGAATTATCTGGTTTAGTAATTTTATGTAGTAAAATTTTACGAAAGTTCATGAATTTTGAAGCGCAGACCTTGGTTGTACGTCAGCTCGTAAGCGCCATCTTTCGTGAGTGGTCATCTGCGGTCAGCTCTAGGTAAGCAATGATGATATTATTACGTAACTAAAGAATAATGATGAAATAAAGTTTTCATACCGATTTCATTGATGCTTTATTTGGAAACTGCTTTGTCTAAGACTGTTCTTCGAAGGTCGTTCTATAGCCTTGGAGGTTTTTCCCCGAAAATTCCTTCAAGTGGTTGGTCTGTTGTCTGCTCAAAACCCAGAGTTTCCAAATATTTGATCAATTCCTAATCAGCGGTTAGAATGTGATATTTTAGTTGTTTACAGCCGCAGTTTAAAAGCTTGATTTTAATTTTATCAGTGATTTCGAAAAGGAACATCATTCCGATCTGTTCTACTCAGACTGATGAACTGTTAAAAACTATTGATTCGCTTATTGTAAATACATGTTTTAGGCATCATTTCTTTCTTTTACGTGTAATAGTCAGTTCTGAGAACTGCGTACAACTTGTTCATTCAATATTTTGCAACTTTGCAATCTCAGGATTTTTAACAATTCTGCTTCATAAAATGGATATAATATAATTTCCTCTTCTAATATTTTTGTTTCTCTACGTAATTGTCCAATTTTCACCGCTATATACTGCTTCGGAGCCATTATTTCCTAAAAAATGTTTGCTTTATCATTTATTTCATTATATAATGTTTTATTATTCTTAATCTTTAATAATTTGGGGAATGGTTTGGTTTTATTTTCTGAATCCTTTTCTTATATAAGGCTGTTGACTGATTTTTTTACTTGTTCTAATATTTTTTACTAAGCCTTCTTTAAATTGGAAGGTTCAGACGTAAAATATGGTAACCCTCAAAACTATTTTTTTTTATTTTGTAATTTTTTATTTTATCATTTCCACGCATCTTGATACTCGTACACCTAGTTCAATTTATGGCTCACAAATGGTCTCAGGTGGTTGTCATTTTAATATAATTCACTCAAACCCCTTAAAGAAAAATGTTCTCTTGTGTATATACCAAAAACATTTATGAGTGGATTATCGTATTATACATCAGAATTCAATTCCAAATTAATATCGGTTGAGAAGGTAATGGATGTAGAAAAATGATCTTTCACTTCTCGATCCCAAGTCTTTCTGTCCATGAATATAGGGCACCGTGTCTTGCATTTTCACTTGTGAATATACAAGAAACTTCCTCTCTTAATGTGGACCACGTTCACTCTTACAACAAACACGATAAGTTTATGTTAGTCCAGTTAGAGCGATGGCTTCAGCAGTCAGAGTGTTTCTGGTGCAAATTCTCTGGCACTTGGCACAAGCAGCCGCGGCCAGAGCGGATGTTGCATCACTTCACGATCATATTCATGTTCTCAATCCGAATCTTCCATATAGTGGTGATCGACAGATATTTTTGACGCGCGTGTAAGATTAAATGTCTAAATTGGAAGTAAGATAATGAAACGATGAAAAAAAATGAATGCAGTTTATCACAAAACGTAGAGTAACACAGGGCCATTTTTTAGTACAAAAATCTGTGAAGAATAAGGTACACTTATTAATTGAACTAGCAAGTTGACCAGTGTATCTCTCTCATACCACATAGTGGTGTCGAATGACACACCTCATCACTTTTTTTAAAATTTTAGACGTAAATATTGAAATAAGGCCAAGAATAAGAATTTCACGTAATGCCGATCTTTATAGACCAGCTTTTTAAGGAAAATGTAAAGCGTATTCAAGTAGCATGCTAGAC